AGCTGTACCGAATGTTGCCCTCCTTCAACAGGTCGAGCTGTACCGAATGTTGCGCCCCTTCAACACGTCGAGCTGTACCGAAAGTTGCCATCGTTCAACAGGTCGAGCTGTACCGAATGTTGCGCTCCTTCAACAGGTCGAGCTGTACCGAATGTTGCGCTCCTTCAACACGTCGAGCTGTACCGAATGTTGCCCTCCTGCAACATGTCGAGCTGTACCGAATGTTGCGCTCCTTCAACACTTCGAACTGTACCGTATGATGCGCTCCTTCAACAGGTCGAGCTGTAGCGAATGTTGCGCCCCTTCAACACGTCGACCTGTACCGAAAGTTGCCCTCGTTCAACACGTCGAGCTGTACCGAATGTTGCGCTCCTTCAACAGGTGGACCTGTACCGAATGTTGCCCTCGTTCAACACGTCGAGCTGTACCGTATGTTGCCCTCCTTCAACATGTCGAGCTGTACCGAATGTTGCGCTCCTTCAACAGGTCGAGCTGTACCGAATGTTGCCCTCCTGCAACATGTCGAGCTGTACCGAATGTTGCCCTCCTTCAACACGTTGAGCTTTACCGAATGTTGCCCTCCTTCCACATGTCGAGCTGTACCGAATGTTGCGCTTCTTCAACACGTCGAGCTGTACCGAATGTTGCGCTCCTTCAACAGGTCGAGCTGTAGCGAATGTTGCGCTCCTTCAACATGTCGAGCTGTAGCGAATGTTTCGCTCCTTCAACATTTTGAGCTGCACCGTATGTTGCGCTCCTTCAACATGTCGAGCTGTACCGAATGTTGCGCTCCTTCAACATGTCGAGCTGTACCGAATGTTGCCCTCCTTCAACACGTAGAGCTGTACTGAATGTTGCGCTCCTTCAACACGTAGAGCTGTACTGTATGTTGCCCTCCTGCAACAGGCTGAGTTCGGTCTCCAACCAGGAACCGACTGTGTTATTGTTGATATTGCAGTTTGGTATAGATTCCGTGGAGGCAACAACTGAGTAGTTGATATATAACGTCACATAGGCAATATTTTACCATAACGTCACGACGTCACGCTGAACATTTATAAAAGAATATTCATAAATGTCGGACTGAAACTGGCTAATCATAGTCAAGAAATCACAGAATGAATAAACTCTAATATCGTTCAACATGATAATCTTTGATTACAGAAATAAAACATTTGTTCACATTGACATTCTATATATATTAAAGAGCTAATACATCATTAAGAAGGCCCTCAAACCGCAACATTTTGGTCAAACTCGACCGTATGCACTTACAATATATGTGAAAAGGTCACACCTTAATCTTATTCCACTTTCACAACCGCACATGCAGAAGCCTATGATATGTGTTTTCATGAAATAGACTCAATAATGTTGTCTTTGTCTATATTACACTTGCTGTCTAAAACATATTCCCGCACAGATGTTCTCCAGGTGTTTGTCCCTCTCAGTTGAATCTGTGATGATATCATCAACGTAGGCTTTGGCATCCTCGTGATTTACTGTAATGTAATTGATAACAAGCTGCTAAGTGGACCAAACAGTCTTGGGCCCATATTGCATAGCTTTGTATTATATAGGCAATCTGGAATTACAAAGGCTGAGACTCTCTCAGTTAATGGAATTTGCCAATTACCATTCATTAGGTCAAACTTGTTGACTTACTTGCCCTTACCAGCTCTGTCATGGTTCTGAGTAATGGATAACAGTCAGTTTTATGAACATCGTTCTCCTGATTTACATCTTATCTGGAACTACCGTCAGCCCCCAAGCTGAATTCAAGTCACTATGACTTGGTTCCGCTATGTCATTATCTTGTATGTATTGAACTTTGTCCAGGGATTCAAATTTGATTGAATTCATCTGGTGCTGATGTTGTTTCACAGGGATAGCGTCAATGTTGGTAAAGAATTCTTGCTCCATTACACTCCAAACATTATGAAATGTATATACCCAAGGTTGGAGCTGTTGGTATATTGCTTGACATAAGGGAAAGTTGACTCTTTATGCATAGATCTAAATATGAAACATATGAAGCCGTCTCAATGGTTTTCTGTTTTTCAAGTCCAAGTGGGTAAATCATTGGAAGGGAATTCGCTATTTGTTCGTTATTGTGCCATAACAGGTCATCAATATAGGTGAGGCATATGTTAATCTTTTAAGCCAAATGATCTCATTGTGATTTTGCCAACCCAAGAAGAAATGCTGATTTACATGCATACAGAATCAAATTCTACATGGAGGGGCGCACACTTCAACATGTTGTGTTGCCCTTACTTGACATCAGCCCTAAGCATAGCTCATTTGACGTCAAGGCCCTTATTCCCGAAATGTTCGTAGCCCTAAGAATTCTTAACTTTGATCGTAGCCAATGTGTTAAGAATGGGCTTAAGAAGTTCATAGGACTATGAACGTTTCGAGAATAGCTAGCCAGGTTCGTAACATTTGGTTAGTTTAAACAGTTCAAACATTTAGAGCTCGGTATCTTTGTAAAATGTCGGCTGACGAAGTGAGTGACTTGAGTTTTACGCCGCACTCAGCAATGTTCCAGCTATATGGCGGTGGTCTGTAAATAATCGAGTCTGGACCAGACAATCCAGTGATCAACAGTATGAGCATCGATCTGCGCAATTGGGACCCGATGACATGTGTCAACCAAGCCAGCGAGCCTGACCACCCGATCCTGTTAGTCGCCTCTTACGAAAAGCATGGGTTACTGAAGGCTCATTCTAACCCGGACCTTCACGGGTGCTGACGAAGTGCATAAATAATCATAGATATTGTTGGCTACACACCTTATGACACTAAATTGTAATTTTACAAATGAATTTCTGAAGTTAACCGAGAAACCTTTTCGCAAAGCGGTGAAACCAACACACAACATATCATAACATCCATCCATTGTTCTGTTGCCGCCATGTTGGAGGAGTGAGTGAGTGAGTGAGTTTAGTTTTTACGCCGCTTTTAGCAATATTCCAGCAACATCACGGTGGGAGACACCAGAAATGGGCTTCAAACATTGTACCCATGTGGGGAATCGAACCCGGGTCTTCGGCGTGACGAGCGAACGCTTTGACCACTAGGCTACCCCACCGCCCCCCATGTTGGACAAATCAAATAAATCGGTGACGTGGATGGTTGAATCGCTACTCTATCTTGAATACTTGAGTTGGTTAAAAGAATGCCAGAAAAAAGACATCCGTTGATCAAGGGAACACTCAAGAGTCTTGAGCATGTACTAGTTGCTTGGATATGTGCGCTATAGAAACAGCCTAGCATATCATAACTGCCATTGCAATTTCTTCGTAGAGATTTGAGACCGCCTCCGTGGTGTAGTGGTTAGAGCGTCCGCCCGGAGAGCGGAAGGACGCGGGTTCGATCCCTGACCGCGTCATACCAAAAGACTTTAAAATATGGTACTTGTTGGCCCCTGCCTGGCGCTCGGCATTAATGGGTACAACAAGGACTGGTCGGCTCGGAGTCAGTATAATGTGTCTGAGTGGGGTATTCATGCTTCACTGCAGCATGGCATCGCAGTGGGCTAGCACTATAAAACCAGCTTCAGTCTGGGCTAGTACAAGCAGCCGTACATACACATACACACTCATGCACATCGTCATATGAGCGAAATATTCTCAAGCACGACATTAAACCCAATTTCACCTCACCTCGTAGAGATTTGTACTTTTAAATTATCTAATTTCGGAATACAATATCAACATATTTCACATTTGTTGTGTTTGTTTTCGCAACGAGATCTTTTAGGAACTGAATTCCAATAAACGTATGGCTTGAAACTTTGGACTCAATGTGTAACCTTTAACCCACTTGAAGGAGCATTTGTTTGACGACAGATGTGAAATGAGTTTGTTGGAGAAAGTTTCATGATGTTGAATTTGGCATTGTGAATTTGCTTTGGATAATTTTATATAATCCCAGGACGAATGTTAGTACATTGTCAAGTACATTGTCAAAAATCAGACAGATATGTCAGTCCTACTGATAACCTTTTGCCAATTGGCAGACGCGACCGCTAGCATGGACATGTTGCTGATAGGTAGGTCAGTGATTCTTGCTGTGGTGTACAAAAACACGGATGTCATAAAAATATAGAACTATAGAATGTATCATGCAAGAAAGGACATTGCACCTACTAAAAGTGTTGCCACCGTTTCCCCTGGAGATATTTGTAACAAAATTGCCATTTTGTATCGTTATATGATATTGCTGCCAATGTTTGGCCTCAGCTACACATATAAATAACTGAGATGAAAGTTAGGTCATTGACGTCTGGGCAGAAGGGTCAAGTGAGTTAGCTGTTATTTTCGAATATCTCCTTATCACAATACAATTTGAAATGCAGTGAAATTTCAAACAAGTATTCTTTAACACCACATCTGTTCTCGTTTATTGCAGAAGTTGTATAGCATAGAGAAACTATGTTCGTTGTTAAAAAGTACTTACTAGTTTCAGGTTTTCAAGATTATCCTCAATTTTTACGAAGTTCATTGTAGAAGCAAATTCTGATATCATTGTAGAAGCAAATTTTGATAGGTACAGCTTGTTCAGCTGGACCTGAGCTACTCTACATATCCATGACCCGGGAGGTCAAATGGCACAAACGGCTGGTCGAGTTAACTTCATTAAATAGGGGAGCAGAGAATGTTATTAATGTTGCGTTCGTGCGAAGCATGCAAACATGGATTCGTTATAGCGCGATTCGGAAACATTAAACCATCTGTAGCTTCTTTTTTAAAGAAAGTTAGGACAATGCTGACGATCTTTCGACACAGAGATGTCGAACGGCGACCTTGTCTCGGCACCCCTTCACAATAATAGACCAAACCAGTTGTGACACGGTTACGCAATGCATTAGTATTCACTTGATCAGGTCAAGCTGAACAAGCTGAAGCTGCATTTTTGGACATGTTAAACATTCGACTACATATCCAGGCGAGATACTGTGCTGTTGTATTACTTCCTAATAAGAAAACCGTGTCTTGGAGAAATGCAGTTTATTGAATTCCTCTGACAGTTGTTTTTCCCGGACAATTACTGACATGGTTTGAGATGACTGGCTGTTTGAGGGCTATTGTTGGTGTAGGCGTAAGACAGGGCGGCGTACAGTTGAGGGTCATGGTGCCGAATGTAGTTGCGAGACGCCTGCTCTGATGGACACGGCTGAGACGTACCACACCTGTTGTAAATAATATACAACCATGTCATCGAATATATTAATGTTATTTGTAAAATACAGGATAGACGATACGTTAGGACGGTTTTGCTTTTGGGTTACAAAATGTCTTAAAATTTGTGTTGTCGCACCATGGACCAAGAACATGGTGGCCCGTCTTACCAGGATCAAGATAAAAAGCAGAGAGCGGAAAGGAAATTGTTGCCTCGTTGTTGTTGAACTGTTGGGGGATACACTGACAGTATAGTGTCCGTGCACCGACCGCTTTACGTGTTCATATATGCTGGTACGAAGACCTACCAGTGTGCGAAATGGCCACTGGCCCGCTAGACCGTGGCTACCAAAAATCTAGTCGGGCCAGTAAATCTCCACAGTCACTAGCCAGACTTGCTGGTGAATTTTCATGGGTTCATTTTGTAAATGTACCACTCGCTCCGACTTGTTAAGTTATGATACACTTTTAAATGGCCTGATAAAAATGTTATTTGAGCATAGACAAAATATTTCAGAAATTCAGCCATGTGTTTTCATATTTGTTTTTGATTGTATTTTACCTTTTTGAGATCTTTTGCCTAGGTTCTACATTCAAATTTCGGGCTAGTGAATTATTTTGTGGGCTAGTAACTATCAAGCATAGCTAGACCGATTGGCAAGCACAAACTGGAAACTATTTCGCACACTGTGACCTATCATTACCAACGTGTGTTCCTGCAGCAGATGGGAAGTATGCGATTCCCTTCTGAAGTGTATTTGTATAAAGGAGACACTGTGAAAGAAGGCATATCTGTAACACTTGAAAGTTTAAATGACACAACAAAGGACAAAATAATGGACACTGTTGAAACTCTTCCAAGTGAACTACTGTGTACACCATGTGTTACCATCAGAGATGTAACTTATAGGTATGGAAGTGTTCTCTTGTTGAAGTACGCAGAGTTTGAAGAACCTCAGTTTGCACAAATTGAGAAGATATATGTTGTGCATCAAGCAAAGTTTGTTGAGTGTGCAGTATTGGAAATTATTGAATTTAGTTCACACCTCAACGCATTTGAATGCCTTCAAACTACAAGAAAAATATGTTTGGATATGGTGGACTTACAGTACAAATGGCCACAGTCATTATACAACATAGAAGGCAAACTAATGGTTGCCCTCCACAATGTAGATTTTGCATGGAGTTTATAAACTTTCAAGGCCTGTTCACTCTAACCAACACTTCTGCATGTGTAACGTGTAATCTGTTTGAACTGTCAAGTGACAAAATGACTAGTTATGAAAGTTTTTCACAGATAACGAGGTAGATGGATTCAGCTTGTTAGAAATGAAGGAGTCCGACATATTTCTAATGTTCCCTGGGAAGATTGGACCTTGCCAGAAAACTGACTGTATTACTATCCAGACTTCATGACGAGCAAAAAGAGCAGGATGGAAAACATGACAAAACAAGCAATATATCTTCTCCGACTGAACATGCTGAAAGCCAACCTCCTGTGACTGAAAGTGAAACACAGGTAATTGAAATCTGATAATTTCTGATAACTTAAACATAAATTTAATTTGTTTTTAGGAAAACAAAATAAATGATAAGAGTTCAAGACATGTTTAACATGAAAACGATGATAAATATTTTTAGATATATACATGCGCACAGTATTACTATTAAAGGACCAAAGTTGTAAATACTTTGAATGGAACTTCTTGCAGTTCTTGTTTTTACTCTGCACTGTATTTATATATCCACAATGTGTTATCAACTGAAACCTGCATCATGTTTATTGGAAAAAAAACCTTACAATCATTGGTATTGCTTTTCAGGAGATTAGTATGGACCTGTCAGAAGACACACAAACTGTCCAACTTGCCCCAAACAACTTGACAGAATCATCACCGTCAGTGACAGGCTCTAAAGTTTCACTTTCAGTTGAATCTCTTCATCCTATCTACTCAAAGACAATTCAGTCGTTGCTGGACAATGGCAAAATTATGGAGGAGTGGTTTAAGTTTATTGAGGAAACTGCATATCATGTCCTTTCCGTGGGAGGATTTGATCAACGAGGATTGTACAACGACTTTGGACGATATATGTGTACAAAATATCCCTGTTTATCCTTTACTACTGGCAAAACACCATGGGTATGTACATCTACCTTGTCTACAATATTTATTAATAGGATATACTGGAAAACAATCGTCTAGTCAGCACCTAAGCCCAGCACTTGTAGGAACAGAGAGATATGTATATAATACAAATTGCTTGCTTGCAGCCCGTGAAGATCCGGGGTAGAATAGATCTTCAACAACCCATGCTTGCCACAAAAGGCAACTAACGGGATCGGGTGGTCAGGCTCGCTGACTTGGTTGACACATGTCATCGGTTCACAACTGCGCAGATTGATGCTCATGCTGTTGATCACTGGATTATCTGGTCCAGACTCAATTATTTACCGACTGCTGCCACATAGCTGTAATATTGCTGAGCGCGGCGTAACACGGAAGTCTCTCTTTCTCTCTCACACACACACACTCACTCACTCACTCACAGGGAATGATGCAAGTATTTTCCAATTCTTTCCTTGATCATTCAGTACGTTTGTTTAATGAACTTTGAGTAAAAAGGGTTTTGTTATATTGTCTAATTAGGTGATTGCTTTTTCAATCTTTTCAGTATTACTTCAACCATGTGCTATCACAGAAGGTGCGGAATATCCGATGGGCAAGGAAGAGGAGGAGTGAGCGCAGAAGTAATGAAACTGGTGGGAAAAGGAAAAAGCTGCACCTCAGTTTGGCCAAGATTGATGGTACAAAATGCAACTTACTTTCTGAAAATGCCAGTTGTGTTTATGAAGAATGTTTTGTATTGTCAAATTATACAGATGTACAATGAAGTTAAGAAACCCTGAAACATTCATGGTCTTATGCACCAAATGTAATGTTTACTGTTTAGTGAAGACAAGGGAAAAGTAAATTTTGTTAAAACCCACATGTGCTATACCTGAGGTATTCTAAGCTTCTGAGTGTAATTTGAGTGTTAATCATGAAAAAGATTGCTTAATGGTCTGAATAGGTTGGAGTGATACTATCAAAGAGCTTAACTTCCTCTTAACTAGAGTACCCAATTATTTCATGCCATATGCATTTGTTGTTGACAGAGGCCAAAGAAATGGACATCGAGAAGGCCAAAAAGACCCTGGAATCAGAATTAAAAAGACTAAGGAGCAGCAAGACAAAGCTCTCATAATGAAGGCTCAGAGAGCAACATTTAAAGAAAGACGCCACTTCGTAGAGAATGTGGAAGAGGATGGAAACATCCAAGTTATCGTGAAGGCTCATCCTTTACTTAAAATTGAAGGCTATGTAAGGTTACAGAGTTTTCTTATGATATGCAAGTTAATCAATCTTTTATTGAAATATTTTTTAGCTTCTGTGGGATATTATTAGGTAGAGACTGACTGTTGTAATAATAATCATATTATTTGTTTTAGCAATTATCAACATTGTTTCAGTGTTTCCTATAGGCGTAAACATTTAGCAGTCATCATGACTCCCTGGTGTCATGAGTGGGAGTCAACTTTAATCAGTGTTTGCCTTGGCATAAAAAGTTAGGAGTCATCATGACATCATGGACATTTTTTTTGGAGTTAACTATACAGGTTTTCTGTGTCATGGGAAACACTGTTATTTATCATCCTCAAAGCGTCTTTCAGGTCAAAATGATCATGTTTGTATAACTAGAATTCTGTTTCTCGATTTGTTTGCTTTAATGGTCACACTTTTGTCTATTTATAGGTTGTCAGAGAATTTCTTCTCCTCAAGTCAAACTGGACTTCGAAAGGAGCGCTAGCAGACCAGTTTACAGAATTCCTCAATAGTTTGGACAAACTGTATGCAACAGACATGTCTGAGGTAAAGAAATTTTAAGTGACAGTATTTATGTTCTAAAATCGATAGTGCTACTATATTATGGAATAGGCCATATTGTGTTATTATACAACCTTACATTATAGTTAGTTCAAAAATCATATTATATTCTCCAGACTGAAGCTGATCCTCATCATCCACTGGACACAGATGAAGCTGTGCTGGAGCTGCTCATGACAACTGATGAGGATATCAAATATACCCCCCAAAAAAGCAAGAAAACTTTGCCCAGCACCATTTCTAAGATTGATGTAAGTTGAAGATGGATATTCAAGTTTTGAGGGTTTTTTTCTTTGAACAAATATACTATTTAGAAAAAGACTGTATTGATGAGTTGGTTCTCACTTTGTCTTTCCAGGTGAAGAATGCTGACCTCTCAACAAAGAGGAAAGAAGCTCCCAGGTTAATTGTTGTCACCACACAGGGGAAGATAGGAAGTTGCTTTGTTGTAGCGGATGGGTTTCAGCTGAGTGTCAGCAAGGATATCAAAGAAGCGGTCCTGTCACTTGTGATGACATACTATGTATGGGATCTCAGTTACCTGAAACATTTTCAGCTTTTGGGACTTTTGCAGTGTTTTGTTTTGAAGGACAGCACAGACTTTTTAAAGAGTTCAGCATATGTTAAATTTGCTAAGAAGCTTGAGCAATGTTCAGCATAATTGAAAATGTTGTTTTTATGCCCCTGCTGTACATGTATATTGCAGACATATTGGATCACCAGTACACACATATGTAACCACTGTCAACAGGGTATCGTTTATCCACTTCTCCTAGTCCTCCAGATAACTTTCTCCACTTGAGCCATACATACTCCCCATATTTTGAGTGGATTACTAGCATTAGTTAAACTTTTGGGTCGCTACATAATGTAAACATCGAAGGATTTCAAATTCCAAACATTTAACCTGCAACCCTATTTTTCATAGTAGTGATTTGAAGCTTAGGTTCACACTTGGCTCGTAGAAATCGTAAACCATAATTTGCTTTCCAAAATTTTACTTAGTTGTAGTTTTTGTTTATCCACTTCTTAAAAAGTACTTGATAGAATGAACTGATCTTCAACACATGATAATTGGTATCAAACTTTAAGTTAAAGGTTTGATTCTCATGTTTTGTTTTAAGAATATTTAAATTCTATAATTTTATTGTTGTTTGAACGTAGATAACTATTCAACAGAGGGTATAATTTATCCACTTCTCCACCATAACTGCTGTATATATTTCATTGAGAGTTTGCATATGGCTTAGACTAGTTAGAGGGATCTTGAAAATCTACATTTCATAGTTTGTTTTCCATTTTTAATTTTTTTTTCAGATTTGAATATTTATGAACTTTGGCAAACATTACATTACTTCTTAAAAACAACTTAACAGATTTTAGATGGAGTGTTTGCACATGGCAATAGTGGGACTATAGTGGTGTGCATCTCATAATTTGTTTGCAAATTTATTGTTCTCTTCAGAAATTATCCTGTTATGATATTTAATTAAATAAAACATTGTCCATTTAAGTTTTTTGTATTCATTATTTTTCATACATATGCTACTTGGCTAATCATCATTTATGAGACTTGTTCATCTTTCATTGCTATTTAACTCAGAATTAGGGGTCTGGATTTCACAATCTGTTGCATTCTTTCAGTATGAAAATAAACAACAAATATATGGATTGAACATTTCCAAATTGTGTTTCTCATAAATGATGATTTGTGCAAGGTCAAAGATACTGGCTGGAAATTTATACAATGAAATGCAATACATTCATTTCAGCCAATCATATAGTACCTTACAGCAGACACTCCAGGAATTGAAGATAAACATTTTGACATGTTTCATTATGTTTAGGATCTAAACACATGTCTAAACATGTTTTAAAGTTAAACATGTTTAGATATTAAACACATTTCTAAACATGTTTAGCTTCTAAACATGTTTAGATATTAAACACAATACAAAATGTGTTTAGAGTTTAAACATGTTTAGGTAAATTATGTGTTTAAAAAACAGGACAAGATATGCGTTTAGGAAAACGTTTAGGATCTAAACACCATTTTTACAGTGTAGGGTGACCTAGTTTGACCTATTATCCCAGATGTAAATGACAGGAATTGAACTGAATTTGCTCATAATCCGCCTGGTCCCACACGATCCATTAGTTCTATAAATTGTTCTGGACAGACAACACTGCTGAAGACTTTGTCACATTCAGTGTTACGGCACTGCAAAGACGTACATGGAATTGCAATATCCTGATATTGGTTTAAGCTGTTTACAGTGAGTGAGTGAGTGAGTTTGGTTTTACGCCGCTTTTAGCAATATTCAAGCAACATCACGGCGGGGGACACCAGAAATGGGCTTCACACAATGTACCCATGTGGGGATTCGAACCCGGGTCTTCGGCGTGACGAGCCAACGCTTTAACCACTAGGCTACCCCACCGCCCCTGTTTACAGAGTTTCCACTCTGTTATGTTGCTACTCACATGTCCATCCCTCCTGTGACATCAGTTCTCCTGATTGACATGAAGAACGAGGAAGTGGCTTCTGCCCAGTACTCGTCGTGGTTCGCCATGGCGTATGTGTTTAATGTCCACAGACGGTTGGCTTTGGCGTGATTGTATGCCGCGATGATCTGGAATAAATATTGTTAATATAGGTTTATTTTGAATTATTGGAAATGTAAAATAACGATGACTGTTGCACTACATATTGTACATGCATCACAGGTGGTAGCATTAATGTAGTTGAACAAGAAAAAAATGCTCTGGCTTAATTCATTAGACACGTGAAACCAATGCATGCTTTGAATGTAGGCCAGGTACAACATGATTGTCGGTTTTGAGAACGGATGACTGCCCATTGTTACATGAACTAATGTGATAGTCACGTGAATTGAATAACCAAGCCCCAATACTGATTCCTCACTATGCTGGCCGAGGTAGGGTTCACATGAAGTGCAGGTAATTAATGAACTGATGAAGTGTTCGCATGTGCTATAACAATTAGTAACAACCTTTCACAATAAGGCTCCCGACACCATTACCACAATGTATTTCAAATGTATTTCTTGTTACACATTGATGTGACATTACAAAAGCCACTTTCTGAAACGGCACCTTGAAAATATATAATACTTTATATGATAAGTGAGTTGTATAAAACTGCCGTTAACGGGACGTAGTATCTCCCCATTCAGACGGCTGCTTAAGTACGTCACACACTGCTCACCTTATTTCTCCAAGTAGAGGGCATGTATGCCATGGTTAGATGGCCGAACTCGTGTACGAGAAGATTCTCCTGGTGATGATATCCGTCATGGCTGTCACAGAGGACGTTGTGGTCAACTACCACGCTTCGAGAGTTGGACAGGGCAGCCAGGGTTTCGTACTTGCGCCCGTCAAACGTGCACGTATGTGAGCAGCTCCCAGAACATGTGCCTTCATAGAGAATAGATTGATCCGCCTTTACGGTCGTATGATGTTATAAGTTGCAGATTGTGAGTGAGTGAGTGAGTGAGTGAGTGAGTGAGTGAGTGAGTGAGTGAGTGAGTGAGTGAGTGAGTGAGTGAGTGAGTGAGTGAGTGAGTGAGTGAGTGAGTGAGTGAGTGAGTGAGTGAGTGAGTGAGTGAGTGAGTGAGTGTGAGTGAGTGAGTGAGTGAGTGAGTGAGTGTGAGTGAGTGAGTGAGTGAGTGAGTGAGTGAGTGAGTGAGTGAGTGAGTGTGAGTAAGTGAGTGAGTGAGTGTGTGTGTGAGTGAGTGAGTGTGAGTGTGTGAGTGAGTGAGTGAGTGATTGAGTGAGTGTGAGTGAGTGAGTGAGGTTGTAGGCCGCTTTTAGCAATATTCCAGCAATATCATGACGGGGGACACAGGGAGTGGGCTTCACGCATTGTACCCATGTGGGGAATCGAACCCGGTTATTCGGCGTGACGGGCGGACGCTTTAACCACTAGGCTACCCCACCTGCCCCGAGGCGCATGGATATTGTGTATATATGTACATCGTTAACAGAAATTATTCCAATGCATAAGGCATACTCTTTACCACGGCAAGCCGCTGTGTCAGCCAGATTGGCGTTCTCTGGGAAGGCTGTCAACTTGTCGCTGGTAGTGAACACCCCGACACCATGTGACCTTGTCAGGCCATGGAACACGTCGTACGGCATGTGACGGGTCATCAAACTGACGATCAAAGCTGCCTGTATAAAGGAGTACATATTGAACATGCTGAAACATCTGTAAACTTATTTAAACAACCAGCGTGTATCATTACCTCCACCAGTTACATATAAAACCCGGTGGGATAAGTCATGTGACTGTTAACTTTCTAGCGCCTCACAGGCAGCTTGGGTTATGTATAGGTTAATCACCCTCACTACAGTAGTTATTTAAATAGGGGCGGTGGGGTGGCCTAGTGGTTAAAGCGTTGGCTCGTCACGCCGAAAACCCGGGTTCGAATCCCCACATGGGTACAATGTGTGAAGTCCATTTCTGGTGTCCCTCGCCGTGATGTTGCTGGAATATTGCTAAAAGCGGCGTAAAACCAAACTTAGTCAGTCAGTACTCACAGAGTATATTTAAATAACTACCGCAGTGAGGGTGCTTACTCCACGAGGGCATACTTATTTAATACGCATGTAATGTATTAGGCATGATGAAGATTATCAAAATAGTACAATTTTATTGTTTTGAAATAGAAATTATTGCCCACCGGAGTGACACGCAGCCCTGTCCTGATTTAGCGTAACTCACTGCACATGGTGGTCGTGTTTCACGCATTTGTCGTGTTTTCTGACCAAAATGTGAAACGGTCACGAAGACCATGTTCATGCCACAAGGCACTGAAGAATTGCCCCCCTCACAATGATTACGATCATGTGGGTGTCAGGTTTCTATTGTTGTTGAGTAGAGGGACACACAGAGGGCAATGTCGTACCTTTTCATGAGCTGTGGCACTGACGTGTTGAGTGGCGTCCACAGTGATGCTGGCTTCGGAAGGGTTGCTGTCATGGATTGCGCCACTGCGCACCACATACTTGTGTTTGAAAGACGCACGGTACTCGTGGAGAGTCCTAGAGCTGCGATGTGTAAAATGAGATGCGATTGATATGGACTCGCTGTTACTTTGAATTTATACTGTCATTTATTATCTACTTACTTACAAAAATCTACTTACAATAATTGTCTTGTCATCACCTTTTCAAATAGGAAAATGGTGGGTAGGGTAATGCATTTTATTTCATTTTTTTGCAAATACAAAAAACATTCAAAAGCTATAAAGATAGCGACACAGAACGGTTGTACTGCACTGTTAAGATGTCAACGACAACGGTCACCTGACAAATGGCTTACATAACCGCTTCCGATGTCAGTAACTGGGTTGTCTGGTCAACACTGTATAATTTACCAACCATAGTGTTTTACCTGGCCTGAGGCATTACAGAACACACATAATCATCACATATATTACAAATCGGCGGAAAATTATGCATTTGCTTCAGTAGGTTAACTAATAATCTACCATCTACATACGCACCTGTTTAACCCTGTATTAGACAGGGGAGGGGAAGGAATAGCCACTACAGCTGAAACTGAGAAAAAGTAAAGTGTACATGTCGTGTTCGTAATATTGCTTGGTATGACCCTTTGGAGAAGGGACGAAAGGGAAAGCACGAGTGAAAGTTTGTATGGATTTTTGCTTCACATAACCCATCTTGGTTGTGTTTGTAATTGAAAAATTAAAAGATGCCAAGCGCTGTCAACATGGTTCACATTTTTCTATTTTTACAATCACATTCGGACCAAGTTTTTGGTTTTGCCCATATTAGATAATACTTCTATATTTTCTGTGTTTTATAGTTGGCAGAATCACGATTTTCATTATGTTCCTCGCCTGACAGTGTAAAGGATACAGATGGTGTTTGACAACATCTTAACAATGTTTGGCGCTTGTAAGTTTCAATTGAAACACTTTAAACAATGTTTTTCGTTGTTTCTTTTAAAGATCCCAAAGCACCAGATGTGTACTTACTTGTGTACGTCAGTTTATGATCATGGGAAAGTACTAACTGTTTTCACATCTCTGATCAACTGATATTGTGTGCTGTACGCGTGTCTTATGTATGTGATACAGAATTAAACCAAAACGTCAACTCACCGACTGCTAGTAATACGAATATTGGCAACATGCTGCGACAAAATACCATGCTGTACTGTAAAATTATATCAGGCTTTTAAAGCTGTTATGTTAAAGTACTTTCCCACAGTTAATGTCACGAATACATTGTCTTCTGATAACGTTACCAAGGATACAATGACCAATGGTTTTGCCTGAATAGACAAAATTGGAAAGATATCATCTGTAACTAAACAATAATATTAAACTCATGTTGGCAAAAACATTACGAATATACTGTTTCTTTCCAAAACATAATCTTTGTGTGATTGTAAACAGCTTCAGCGTCCAAACGCGGCAATATTAACTTTTCCCCTTGTTTTAGAAGTGTTTGAAGAACTATTCGCCAAAACGTCACCAAGAAAACATGCAAAACAAAATGCACGTGCAAGCAAGCGGATAGGCATGAGGTATCTATCGCTATAAAAAGGCAAACGTTGTGTTTCATTTTGTGATTCGTTTTTGCCTGGAAAAGAGGAAATCATCATGCCATTGCTGCCGCCAATCGAAACATCGCCATAGGTCGCCTTGAAGCTGGGGAGTCGCAGTCTGCAGTTGCCCGACATTTTAACGTTCACCAGAGCATCATGTTTCGCATTTGGGATCATTTCTGTAGCCCAATTCCACCCATGATCGCCCGAGAAGCGGGTTGCTCACTTGCGTCATCGTCTTGTCACAGCCATGGAGACTGCGCAACGCATCCCTGGTTTGAGAAGAATTTCCGACCAAACTGTGAGGAATCGATTGCGTGAAGAGGGGATTCGACCAAGAAGGCCAGTTGTCGCCCCTGTTTTGAGAGACCTCCATCGGCGCAATCGCTTGCGGTGGTGTCGTAGAGTCCGGAACTGGAACCTTAGAAACTGGAGGCGAGTCTGGTTCAGTGATGAATCACAATTTCGTCCGTACGTTTTGCCCCAAATTGCATTCGACAGGTCGACAGGTCGACATATTCGGTGGAGTCAGTATCAGGTGTGGGGTGTGATATTCAGCACACAAAGATTTGATTCAGTGGTGGTTCAGGGGAATTTGTCAATAAATCGGTACATCAACGAAGTCCATGCACGTCACATACTTCCGATTATGGACCGACAGAGGGAGTTGTTCCAGCACGACAACGCTACTTCACATACAGCACGCGTCACGGTCCGCTGCCTTGCCAATTCAAACGTCAATGTCTTGCACCAGCCTTCCCGACCACCAGATCTGAACCCGATAGAAAACCTATGCGATGAACTCAATCGACGTGTACGTCAACGTCAAAACACGCCTCAGACACTTCCACAACTGGCCATCGTATTGCAGGGAGGGTGGGGAAGAATTCCGCAAGAGCGACTTCGTCGACTTATCCAGTCTGCGCCGAGATGGAGCCGAGCAGTAATTGCTGCCAATGGTGGCCATACAAAGTGCTGACTTTGACGCCATCTTGTGGACTCAAGTAAACAGAAACACAACAATAAAGGCTGTTGTTGTGTTGCTAAACTCTTTGTCAACAGACGTGTGAATGTTCACCTTTTTACCATTGAAAATACAGGAAATAATTTCTCTTAAACATACGCAATAAATTCTTCTAAAAATGGTTGATGCGTTTCTTTTTTGAAGAGTGTATGTGTACATGATTAGTGCATAAACAGAGAGACGTCTCTCTCACATAAATCATGACGTCCAAAGGTTTGGGGGAAATGCTCCTCAGGGAAAGATTTCGCGTGCGTGCGTGCGTGTGTGTGTGTGTGTGTTTGACGTGTGCACGCGTGTGCTCCTATAGTGTGTTGACCACTGGTGCTCCTATAGGTGAAAATCACTCACCATGCACTGTTATAGTGCCATTGTCGTTGTACAGCCTTTGAATGTTTAGCGCCGCTCTATTCTGTACTACCATTATAATTCCATTGCAGTAATTTGTTTTGATTTGTTAAAATCTTTTATTATTTTGTAATACAATTGTTAACTTATAGGATTCTTTGTTGCACTTAATTCATTTTCGTATGGATTCGGAATTGTCATAATGGTTCAATTTGGAAATCGCCATGTAACAACTTGTCGACAGTGACCTTATCCGACACAGGGTTAAACTTTCCATAAAGTTCCTCCGGTCATCGTGCATGTTTAGTTCCGAGTCGCTTCCATGGATCTTCTGCTGTCCAGTCATTCCGTGATCACTTCTGTCTTTCTCCCGACGAGAAAGTCGAGATTGTCGTGGCTAGCGGGTGGTCAGGTGATTTCATGACCTCGTTCACCGTCCGTGGTCTACGTTTCCCACAATATGTAACACTAGATGTCAAGTCGACACTAACCGCTGTGATGAAGGTGGTATTTTACGCATTGTATAGTTAATTAAACAAACAGCGATAAATCACAAATATAGCTATAATATATAACCGATTTTAAGAAAGAAAAAGTACGGATTTGTTTATTGAAGAGGCTGAACGAACATATACTTCATACATCAAAACTTCAGTGTGTGCTACAAACTTGTTTTTGACAATTTGAATGCTAGCACTGTGCTGACAATGATATTTTGACTTTTCCATCATTGAAATTTGACAAATGGAAACAATTTGTATTGTAATAGAAGTTGTATACGTTTCATTAGAGTTGCAACTGTGGCAAACGCAAAGTGCGGCATATGCATAAAACCAATCACCATAGTGTTTTCGTTGTACGGATCCAGTCACATCTGAACTACCTTTGTTGGAATTAAGTTTTGATTCTAAATATTTTCTGACAAATCACAAATAACATCAACACGTGGTTGTGTATTATCATTAACCATCTGCTGATCTGCACGTGGTGGTCACATTTTGAACTACCTGATTAGTGACCCTTCAGGCCAGATCGATATAATGTGGATGTATATATATATATATAGCCAAGAAGCATATCGTTTGTGTATTTCATACATTGTACAGTTATAGTACTAAAATCAAGATGACATATCTAATGCTTGCTCTTCATATTGTCGTCGGTAAGTGATGATATCATGTTACACCATCAGCATACTCGTGATGGTCAGGGTTAGAATTGGTTTTCAGCTAACGGGATCGGATGATCACGCTTGGTCATCATGGCATCTAATCTAGACTGTATTCAAGCCACGGTTGATGATACCTTCAGACAAATACTGGTGCATAAAGTTTCGGTAGTGCGTTTGTGTCGAATGTGGTATGCTATATCTGTACTATGCTCTCATGATCGAATCATCCTTGTTTCAATGAGTGTAGAAAATACATAATAATTTTATGTTTTGTCTGCATTTCAGCAGTTTTGAGTGATATAGCACCTGTAAGTATTGTCACACAGCTAATTCAACTATTACACACTGTCCCTAAAGGTTAATCATTACCTAGGACGGTGATGTTATTGGTCCATTCAAATGATTTTCTCAGATATATGTTGCTCTAAACGTCAAATGGAAATCTGGGGTGTTGATCATGCAGGGCTGGTTACTTTCTAATATAATATTGTATTTTTTATAACACATTTTTTCAAAATGTTTCAATGAACCGATCCCCCCTTACACCTCGGTGTTTGGCTTCGTGTTGCGTATATGATGAATGTAATTACGTGAGTGTAAATTTCTACGTGTTTGTCTTTCACCTGAAACTGACATCGGTGTGAGAATATGTGTAAATAATTTGATTGACATTTTGCAAGCAGTAGATGTTAGTTTTCACGCCATATTCTTCTTATATTGAATGTGGGATTTTATTTAATGTACAATTCTCGTAACTATATGGCTTACATGTGCGATTTGTATCTCATTCTCCCGTTTCCTTTTCTTTTGACAATTATTTTTATTTTGCTTTTGTATTTGCTATTGTTCTGTCTGGCTGCCATACATAACGAGGTTGGGTTGTCCTCAATGAGAAGGCCTCCATAATAATAACCATCATTAGAATCACTGCACTCATTGTTTGGTCAGAGGACTTGGTATCAATCCTATGTCAAATAATGTCATTTATAAAGACTGTGTTTCATCTACAGAATCACCAAGTAGAACAGTTACCCTTTACCTTGACACCTCAATAGCAGCCTCTTCCTCTGTTGTACAGACATGTTTGTATAAAGACTCATAAATCAGACATGAGCCCAACAAATGCTCCATTATATCCACAAGCAAGTAACTTCTATTTATTAAAAGAACGTATTTGATCCAACTGTAATTAATGCCATTCTCAAGAGCTAACTGAATTTCTAAAATTCAGAAAAATAACCTACTCCAGTTATGTCACCTTACTTTGAATCCAACTTTTCCACCACCATTTCTGAAATGACGGACCAGTGACCAACATGATATCCCATACAATTCGTTGTTTTCGAATGTCCCCTTTTTTCAGTAGGGAATAACCAATTCCCTTCACTGATGTATCAAGAACTAAACATTGCAATAACGAAGTTGACTATCCACAGAACTTGGTTTCCCTTCATCCTTACAGCTTTTAATATGCCTCTCAAAGCAGAACTAAACATGTAAGAAACACGTGATACAGGAACATCGCATCCTATTTCGAGGCTTCAACGGGTTTTATGTTGGACATTTGGAGGACATTTCCATATGTGAGGCATCAGTCTAAAACAAAAATATTTGAGTTATACCATAAAAACTTGTGTTTTCTTTTTCGCGTGAACAAGTGATTTACATTTACATGTGTTGTTGACGGCTTGCACCGTTTAGGTAATACTCTCATAATTTTTTAACTACATTTTTGTGATTCTTTTCATTTATTTCAGGCACGAGGCGGATGGAGGTAGGTGACTGAAAAGAATAAGATCATGAAAATCTTATTACAAACCAAGAACCAGTTTTTACAGTACATATTTATTTATGTGCATACTATTTCACTCATTACCGTTTTTTGTTATGAACAATTATTACGCTCAATAAGATATGGCAACATATTATATTTGATATTGATATTGACTTAATACAGTTAAAGGTGATCTGTATCCGTACGTATACAATATATATGTATACTCAGCCTCCAGCAATTGAGACCGTTTAATTATATAAAAACATTAAGTACACTCCTCTCCACTGTTTTAAAATCAAGAAGTAAACCCCCCATTATAAAATTGATTAATTTGGAATTTCAATCTTCACCCTATATTCAGCATGTATGCATTATTTATGTTCGCATTTTGTTTGTATTATGGGCCAATAACCTGCATTATTGAAATATAAATGTCTGTCTGTGTCTGTACATGTGTCTGTGACAATATGTATGTACTAGCATAATTTATACAAAAAAGTGTAATTGTACATATTGCCAGAAAATCATCTGATGTGTTCCTCCCAATATTAATTTCAGTTATCCTTCAACAGTAATAAAAGCCAATTCCTGTCAACCAATTTGAGCTGGAAATATATGGGACCAGTGAGGTCATTTCATAATTAGACCAATGTATAAAGATTCAGAGTAAATATGACAGTATAATAAGGGGGAGGACTTTCCAACATTCACATTTTCTTTTATGTTATTTCAGCAGCTCCAGTCTTTGATGTCTTCATTGTGTTACATTTTCCAACATTTCTGTAATAATTCCTAGAGTCAAAGAGGTTTGGGAACCGGATATGGCCAATTCTGTTTTCTCATTGAATGTTTTCATATACGAGTTTCCCCCAAAACATCTTCTCAAATAGCGGCCCTAATATGACAGCACCCAATGCAAGGAACGTGCTGACCGATGCAACCTTGGATAAGCAGAATGTCAGCTTCCCGGGAACGTCCAATATGGCCACCGATTTGCCTGATGGGTAGGTACCGTTGCACACATACATGTCAGAAACAGCTCAAAAACACATGATGGTTAGTTCAATCACCCCGACTGTAATTCCACCTTTGTCAGCACGAGCTTGTGGGATTCACATTAAACTGACAGGCAGTGATATAACCATCAAGGCAAGATACACGCCCCGTTTCACCAACACCTGCTATCAGAACTATATGATAGTTATTTTCAAACACATACTTCTGATATAACCGGAATCATTCAATGGGATCTTCTTTAAGCAGCCATTTCTGATATTAATGAAATGGTAATGCCGGTTTGTTTTCAATGTTATGACATGGTGGCTAACTTCTGTTTTCCTTTTCTCACATAATATGACTACTCCTTGTTCCAATAGCGGCCTTAATATGACAGCTCCGAATGCAACGAAGGTGCTGACCGATGCAACCCTGGATAAGCAGAATGTCAGCTTCCCGGGAACGTCCAATATGACCACCGATGCGCCTGATGGGTAGGTACTGTTGCACACATGCATGATGCACTAGAACACGTTATCTGGACGCGAGAGACGCCTTCGCATGATGTCCACAGTAGTGTCCCTTTGGGCAAGGCAGGAACATATGATGATTAAATCCCGGTGCGCCCCAATTATGGTTCTACGTTTCTCAGCACCATACCCGTGCCCGTGGAAGTCACATTCAGCTGACAGACAGGTGTAACGGGAATACAGTTTCATATTGCGTGCACGTGGTTCTGAAATTATGAAACGATGCAAGGGTATCATAACTGGTTGATAGTGATTCTTAAACACATACTGCTATAGTCGGATCATACAATAAGATCTTCGTTTAGCAGAGATTCTAATATACATGAAAAGTGTAATTTTGGTTCTATTTCAATGTTAAGATATTGTTGCAAATTCCTGTTTTCCATCTTTCACATACTATTTTTCATACATGGATATTCCTAAATAGCATAAAGACATTGTCTTCTTCTTAAAATAGCGGCCGTAATATGACAGCTCCGAATGCAACGAACGCGCCGACCGACTCATCCCTGGCCATGCAGAATGTTAGCTTCCCGGGAAAGTCCAATATGGCTACAGATTTGCCTGATGGGTAGGTACTGTTGCACACATACATACATGTTTTGTTAGAAACAAAATTTAGGAACATATGATGGTTTGTTCAAATCCCAGTGCGCCCCAATTATGGTTCTACGTTTGTCAGCACCATGCCCGTGCTCGTGGAAGTCACAGTCAGCTGACAGACAGTTGTAACGGGAATACAGTTTCATATTGCATGCACGTGGTTCGGGTTGATATTCTGAAACTATGATAGTGAGTGAGTGAGTGAGTTTAGTTTTACGCCGCACTCAGCAATATTCCAGCAATATGGCGGCGGTCTGTTAATAATCGAGACTGGACCAGACAATCCAGTGATCAACAGCATGAGCATCGATCTGCGCAATTGGGAACCGATGTCATGCGTCAACCAAGTGAGCGAGCCTGACCACCCGATCCCGTTAGTCGCCTCCTACGACAAGCATTGGTTACTGAAGATCAATATTCTAACCCGGACCTTCGCGGGTCTGAAACTATGATACGTTGCAAGGTGTCTCAGTTTCGCCCACACCTGCTATCATAACTGTTTGATAGCGATTCCTAATCACATACTTATACTATAGTCGGATGATTCAATAGAATCTTCTTTTAACAGAGATTTCTAATATTTATGTAAACGGTAACTGCGGTTCTATTTCAATGTAAAGACGTTGTTGTAAACACCTGTATTCCTTATTTCACATACTATATTTCATATATAGATACATGTATTCCTAAATATCATAGAGAAATCGCCATCTTCTTAAAATAGCGGCCCTAATATGACAGCACCCAATGCAAGGAACGCGCCGACTGACTCAACCCTGGATAAGCAGAATGTCAGCTTCCCGGGAACGTCCAATATGGCCACCGATTTGCCTGATGGGTAGGTACCGTTGCAACCATACATGTCAGAAGCAGCTCAGAAACACATGATGGTTAGTTCAATGGCCCCGATTGTAATTCCACTTTTGTCATCACGAGCCTGTGAAATTCACTTTAAGCTGACAGACAGTGATATAACGGGAATGCTATTTACTGTTGCGTGAACGTGGTTCAGGTTGAAGTTTTGAGATTATGATACTTTGCAAGGTGTCGGAGACACGCAGACAAGAATGGTTAACCTCCTTATCCAACTAAAGGTCGCTTCTGTATACAAGCTGGTTAACCTCCTTATCCAACTAAAGGTCGCTCCTGTATACAAGCTGGTTAACCTCCTTATCCAACTGAAGGTCGCTTCTGTATACAAGAAGGTTAACCTCCGTATCCAACTAAAGGTCGCTTCTGTATACAAACAGGTTAACCTTCTCATTCAACTAAAGGTCGCTTCTGTATACAAGCAGGTTAGCCGCCCTCATCCAACTAAAGGTCTGTATACAGGCAAGTTAACCTTTTCATCCAACTAAAGGTCGCTTTGTGTATACAAGCTGGTTAACCTCCTCATCCAACTAAAGGTCGCTTCTGTATACAAACTGGTTAACCTCCTCATCCAACTAAAGGTCGCTGCTGTATACAAGCAGGTTAACCTTCTCATCCAACTAAAGGTCGCTTCTGTGTACAAGCTGCTTAAACTTCTCATCCAACTAAAGGTCGCTTCTGTATACAAGCAGGTTAACCTTCTCATCAACTAAAACTAAAGGTCGCTTCTGTATACAGGCAAGTTAATACTTTCCATCCAACTAAAGGTCGCTTCTGTATACAAGCTGGTTAACCTCCTTATCCAACTAAAGGTCGCTTCTGTATACAAGCTGGTTAACCTCCTCATCCAACTAAAGGTCGCTTCTGTATACAAGCAGGTTAACCTCCGTATGCAACTAAAGGTCTGTATAAAAGCAGTGACATGAATGTGACACAAGATGAGCATCAACCTGTTAACCTAATCTAACTTTATACGAGCTGCATATTGTATTACAACATCTGTTGTTTTCATAGCTACAACGTGTCCCCTCGTACTGAAGAGGGGTTTGGAAATAGGACACGCCTCCCTGAAAGGCATGGAGGGAAAGCCACAGGTGTATCGTAATTTATATGAATACTTCGAGCAGGGTTTCACGAAATAGCCCCCAAACAGCACATACAATAACAATTTCATTTCTTTAGGCGCAATTTCCAATATGTTTCGAACACAGAATGACAGTGAATCCAGTGCATAAACTATTGAACATATTTGAATTTCTTCAAACTTTTTTTAGTTGTCTCAAACGAATTGTTGCTTATATTCCCGAAATTCATACGTGTATAGTTACTATGGAATCTAGAGGTCCCGAGAAGTTAACAATCATCATGACTCGTGGTCATGGGTGGTCGATACAGTAATAGCGTGGCGTTATTGCTCTTGATATCCAACACTGGTTAGCTAGAGCAATCGTGCGTGTGTGATGTGTGCGTGTGTAGATGTGCGCGTGTCTGTTTGAGTGCAACACATCACACCAAGCAATATTCTAGTTGTTTGATCAGGGTAACAATTAATGCAAGAAGGGTGTCTTGCTAGACAAGCTTTGCGCATTTCAAATTTACTGTCATCAGTTACCAAAATATATCTGATGGAATTCCTCCTTTTGACTTTTGTTGTGTGTACATATGTACCTTTGCATGTGTCTGTGACAGTTGCCACCAGCAAGGCAAGATACACGCCCCGTTTCACCAACACCTGCTATCAGAACTATATGATAGTTATTTTCAAACACATACTTCTGATATAATCGGAATCATTCAATGGGATCTTCTTTAAGCAGCCATTTCTGATGTTAATGAAATGGTAATGCCGGTTTGTTTTCAATGTTATGACATCGTGGCTAACTTCTGTTTTCCTTTTCTCACATAATATGACTATTCCTTGTTCCAATAGCGGCCTTAATATGACAGCTCCGAATGCAACGAACGTGCTGACCGATGCAACCCTGGATAAGCAGAATGTCAGCTTCCCGGGAACGTCCAATATGACCACAGATTTGCCTGATGGGTAGGTACCGTTGCACACATGCATGATGCACTAGAACACGTTATCTGGACGCGAGAGACGCCTTAGCATGATGTCCAGAGTAGTGTCCCTTGGGCAAGGCAGGAACATATGATGATTAAATCCCGGTGCGCCCCAATTATGTTTCTACGTTTCTCAGCACCATACCCGTGCCCGTGGAAGTCACATTCAGCTGACAGACAGGTGTAACGGGAATACAGTTTCATATTGCGTGCACGTGGTTCTGAAATTATGAAACGATGCAAGGTGTCTCAGTTTCGCCGAGTATCATAACTGGTTGATAGTGATTCTTAAACACATACTGCTATAGTCGGATCATACAATAAGATCTTCGTTTAGCAGAGATTCTAATATACATGAAAAGTGTAATTTTGGTTCTATTTCAATGTTAAGATATTGTTGCAAATTCCTGTTTTCCATCTTTCACATACTATTTTTCATACATGGATATTCCTAAATAGCATAAAGACATTGTCTTCTTCTTAAAATAGCGGCCGTAATATGACAGCTCCGAATGCAACGAACGCGCCGACCGACTCATCCCTGGCCATGCAGAATGTTAGCTTCCCGGGAAAGTCCAATATGGCTACAGATTTGCCTGATGGGTAGGTACTGTTGCACACATACATACATGTTTTGTTAGAAACAAAATTTAGGAACATATGATGGTTTGTTCAAATCCCAGTGCGCCCCAATTATGGTTCTACGTTTGTCAGCACCATGCCCGTGCTCGTGGAAGTCACAGTCAGCTGACAGACAGTTGTAACGGGAATACAGTTTCATATTGCGTGCACGTGGTTCGGGTTGATATTCTGAAACTATGAGTAGTGAGTGAGTGAGTGAGTTTAGTTTTACGCCGAACTCAGCAATATTCCAGCAATATGGCGGCGGTCTGTAAATAATCGAGACTGGACCAGATAATCCAGTGATCAACAGCATGAGCATCGATCTGCGCAATTGGGAACCGATGTCATGCGTCAACCAAGTGAGCGAGCCTGACCACCCGATCCCGTTAGTAGCCTCCTACGACAAGCATTGGTTACTGAAGATCAATATTCTAACCCGGACCTTCGCGGGTCTGAAACTATGATACGTTGCAAGGTGTCTCAGTTTCGCCCACACCTGCTATCATAACTGTTTGATAGCGATTCCTAATCACATACTTATACTATAGTCGGATGATTCAATAGAATCTTCTTTTAGCAGAGATTTCTAATATTTATGTAAACGGTAACTGCGGTTCTATTTCAATGTAAAGACGTTGTTGTAAACACCTGTATTCCTTATTTCACATACTATATTTCATATATAGATACATGTATTCCTAAATATCATAGAGAAATCGCCATCTTCTTAAAATAGCGGCCCTAATATGACAGCACCCAATGCAAGGAACGCGCCGACTGACTCAACCCTGGATAAGCAGAATGTCAGCTTCCCGGGAACGTCCAATATGGCCACCGATTTGCCTGATGGGTAGGTACCGTTGCAACCATACATGTCAGAAGCAGCTCAGAAACACATGATGGTTAGTTCAATCGCCCCGATTGTAATTCCACTTTTGTCATCACGAGCCTGTGAAATTCACTTTAAGCTGACAGACAGTGATATAACGGGAATGCTATTTACTGTTGCGTGAACGTGGTTCAGGTTGAAATTCTGAGATTATGATACTTTGCAAGGTGTCGGAGACACGCAGACAAGCTGGTTAACCTCCTTATCCAACTAAAGGTCGCTTCTGTATACAAGCAGGTTAACCTCCTTATCCAACTAAAGGTCGCTCCTGTATACAAGCTGGTTAACCTCCTTATCCAACTGAAGGTCGCTTCTGTATACAAGAAGGTTAACCTCCTTATCCAACTAAAGGTCGCTTCTGTATACAAACAGGTTAACCTTCTCATCCAACTAAAGGTCGCTTCTGTATACAAGCAGGTTAACCTCCTCATCCAACTAAAGGTCGCTTCTGTATACAAGCTGGTTAACCTCCTCATCCAACTAAAGGTCGCTTCTGTATACAAGCTGGTTAACCTTCTCATCCAACTAAAGGTCGCTTCTGTATACAAGCTGGTTAACCTCCTTATCCAACTAAAGGTCGCTTCTGTATACAAGCTGGTTAACCTCCTTATCCAACTAAAGGTCGCTTCTGTATACAAGCTGGTTAACCTTCTCATCCAACTAAAGGTCGCTTCTGTATACAAGCTGGTTATCCGCCTCATCCAACTAAAGTTCGCTTCTGTATATACAGGCAAGTTAACCCTTTCATCCAACTAAAGGTCGCTTCTGTATACAAGCAGGTTAACCTCCTTATCCAACTAAAGGTCGCTTCTGTATACAAGAAGGTTAACCTCCGTATCCAAGTAAAGGCCGCTACTGTATACAAACAGGTTAACCTTCTCATCCAACTAAAGGTCGCTTCTGTATACAAGCAGGTTAACCGCCTCATCCAACTAAAGGTCGCTTCTGTATACAGGCAAGTTAACCTTTTCATCCAACTAAAGGTCGCTTCTGTATACAAGCTGGTTAACCTCCTCATCCAACTAAAGGTCGCTTCTGTATACAAGCTGGTTAACCTCCTCATCCAACTAAAGGTCGCTTCTGTATACAAGCTGGTTAACCTCCTCATCCAACTAAAGGTCGCTTCTGTATACAAGCTGGTTAACCTTCTCATCCAACTAAAGGTCGCTTCTGTATACAAGCTGGTTAACCTTCTCATCCAACTAAAGGTCGCTTCTGTATACAAGCAGGTTAACCTCCTCATCCAACTAAAGGTCGCTTCTGTATACAAGCAGGTTAACCTCATCCAACTAAAGGTCGCTTCTGTATACAAGCTGGTTAACCTCCTCATCCAACTAAAGGTCGCTTCTGTATACAAGCAGGTTAACCTTCTCATCCAACTAAGGTCGCTTCTGTATACAAGCTGGTTAACCTCCATATGCAACTAAAGGTCTGTATAAAAGCAGTGACATGAATGTGACACAAGATGAGCATCAACCTGTTAACCTAATCTAACTTTATACGAGCTGCATATTGTATTACAACATCTGTTGTATTCATAGCTACAACGTGTCCCCTCGTACTGAAGAGGGGTTTGGAAATAGGACACGCCTCCCTGAAAGGCATGGAGGGAAAGCCACAGGTGTATCGTAATTTATATGAATACTTCGAGCAGGGTTTCACGAAATAGCCCCCAAACAGCACATACAATAACAATTTCATTTCTTTAGGTGCAATTTCCAATATGTTTCGAACACAGAATGACAGTGAATCCAGTGCACAAACTATTGAACATATTTGAATTTCTTCAAACTATTTTTAGTTGTCTCAAACGAATTGTTGCTTATATTCCCAAAATTCATACGTGTATAGTTACTATGGAATCTAGAGGTCCCGAGAAGTTAACAATCATCATGACTCGTGGTCATGGGTGGTCGATACAGTAATAGCGTGGCGTTATTGCTCTTGATATCCAACACTGGTTAGCTAGAGCAATCGTGCGTGTGTGCGTGTGTAGATGTGCGCGTGTCTGTTAAAGTGCAACACATCACACCAAGCAATATTCTAGTTGTTTGATCAGGGTAACAATTAATGCAAGAAGGGTGTCTTGCTAGACAAGCTTTGCGCATTTCAAATTTACTGTCATCAGTTACCAAATATATCTGATGGAATTCCTCCTTTTTGACTTTTGTTGTGTGTACATGTGTACCTTTGCATGTGTCTGTGACAGTTGCCACCAGCAAGGCAAGATACACGCCCCGTTTCACCAACACCTGCTATCAGAACTATATGATAGTTATTTTCAAACACATACTTCTGATATAATCGGAATCATTCAATGGGATCTTCTTTAAGCAGCCATTTCTGATGTTAATGAAATGGTAATGCCGGTTTGTTTTCAATGTTATGACATGGTGGCTAACTTCTGTTTTCCTTTTCTCACATAATATGACTACTCCTTGTTCCAATAGCGGCCTTAATATGACAGCTCCGAATGCAACGAAGGTGCTGACCGATGCAACCCTGGATAAGCAGAATGTCAGCTTCCCGGGAACGTCCAATATGACCACCGATGCGCCTGATGGGTAGGTACTGTTGCACACATGCATGATGCACTAGAACACGTTATCTGGACGCGAGAGACGCCTTAGCATGATGTCCACAGTAGTGTCCCTTTGGGCAAGGCAGGAACATATGATGATTAAATCCCGGTGCGCCCCAATTATGGTTCTACGTTTCTCAGCACCATACCCGTGCCCGTGGAAGTCACATTCAGCTGACAGACAGGTGTAACGGGAATACAGTTTCATATTGCGTGCACGTGGTTCTGAAATTATGAAACGATGCAAGGTGTCTCAGTTTCGCCGAGTATCATAACTGGTTGATAGTGATTCTTAAACACATACTGCTATAGTCGGATCATACAATAAGATCTTCGTTTAGCAGAGATTCTAATATACATGAAAAGTGTAATTTTGGTTCTATTTCAATGTTAAGATATTGTTGCAAATTCCTGTTTTCCATCTTTCACATACTATTTTTCATACATGGATATTCCTAAATAGCATAAAGACATTGTCTTCTTCTTAAAATAGCGGCCGTAATATGACAGCTCCGAATGCAACGAACGCGCCGACCGACTCATCCCTGGCCATGCAGAATGTTAGCTTCCCGGGAAAGTCCAATATGGCTACAGATTTGCCTGATGGGTAGGTACTGTTGCACACATATATACATGTTTTGTTAGAAACAAAATTTAGGAACATATGATGGTTTGTTCAAATCCCAGTGCGCCACAATTATGGTTCTACGTTTGTCAGCACCATGCCCGTGCTCGTGGAAGTCACAGTCAGCTGACAGACAGTTGTAACGGGAATACAGTTTCATATTGCGTGCACGTGGTTCGGGTTGATATTCTGAAACTATGATAGTGAGTGAGTGAGTGAGTGAGTTTAGTTTTACGCCGAACTCAGCAATATTCCAGCAATATGGCGGCGGTCTGTAAATAATCGAGACTGGACCAGATAATCCAGTGATCAACAGCATGAGCATCGATCTGCGCAATTGGGAACCGATGTCATGCGTCAACCAAGTGAGCGAGCCTGACCACCCGATCCCGTTAGTAGCCTCCTACGACAAGCATTGGTTACTGAAGATCAATATTCTAACCCGGACCTTCGCGGGTCTGAAACTATGATACGTTGCAAGGTGTCTCAGTTTCGCCCACACCTGCTATCATAACTGTTTGATAGCGATTCTTAATCACATACTTATATATACTATAGTCGGATGATTCAATAGAATCTTGTTTTAGCAGTGATTTCTAATATTTATATAAAAGGTACCTGCAGTTCTATTTCAATGTAAATGTCAATGTATTCCTAAATATCATAGAGACATCGCCATCTTCTTAAAATAGTGGCCCTAATATGACAGCACCCAATGCAAGGAACGCGCCGACCGACTCAACCCTGGATAAGCAGAATGTCAGCTTCCCGGGAACGTCCAATATGGCCACCGATTTGCCTGATGGGTAGGTACCGTTGCAACCATACATGTCAGAAGCAGCTCAGAAACACATGATGGTTAGTTCAATGGCCCCGATTGTAATTCCACTTTTTGTCATCACGAGCCTGTGAAATTCACTTTAAGCTGACAGACAGTGATATAACGGGAATGCTATTTACTGTTGCGTGAACGTGGTTCAGGTTGAAATTCTGAGATTATGATACTTTGCAAGGTGTCGGAGACACGCAGACAAGCTGGTTAACCTCCTTATCCAACTAAAGGTCGCTTCTGTATACAAGCTGGTTAACCTCCTTATCCAACTAAAGGTCGCTTCTGTATACAAGCTGGTTAACCTCCTTATCCAACTAAAGGTCGCTTCTGTATACAAACTGGTTAACCTTCTCATCCAACTAAAGGTCGCTTCTGTATACAAGCTGGTTAACCTCCTCATCCAACTAAAGGTCGCTTCTGTATACAAGCAGGTTAACCTCCTTATCCAACTAAAGGTCGCTTCTGTATACAAGCAGGTTAACCTCCTCATCCAACTAAAGGTCGCTTCTGTATACAAGCTGGTTAACCTCCTCATCCAACTAAAGGTCGCTTCTGTATAAAAGCTGGTTAAAAGACACTAAAGGTCGCTTCTGTATACAAGCTGGTTAACCTCCTCATCCAACTAAAGGTCGCTTCTGTATACAAGCTGGTTAACCTCCTTATCCAACTAAAGAGGTCGCTTCTGTATACAAGCTGGTTAACCTTCTCATCCAACTAAAGGTCGCTTCTGTATACAAGCTGGTTAACCGCCCTTATCCAACTAAAAGGTCGCTTCTGTATACAAGCTGGTTAACCTCCTCATCCAACTAAAGGTCGCTTCTGTATACAAACAGGTTACCTCCTCGTCCAACTAAAGGTCACTTCTGTATACAAGCTGGTTAACCTTCTCATCCAACCAAAGGCCGCCTCTGTATACAAGCTGGTTAACCTTCTCATCCAACTAAAGGTCGCTTCTGTATACAAGCTGGTTAAGCTTCTCATCCAACCAAAGGCCGCATCTGTATACAAGCAGGTTAACCTCCTTATCCAACTAAAGGTCGCTTCTGTATACAAGCTGGTTAACCTTCTCATCCAACTAAAGGTCGCTTCTGTATACAAGCAGGTTAACCTTCTCATCCAACTAAAGGTCGCTTCTGTATACAAGCTGGTTAAGCTTCTCATCCAACTAAAGGTCGCATCTGTATACAAGCAGGTTAACCTCCTCTATCCAACTAAAGGTCGCTTCTGTATACAAGCTGGTTAACCTTCTCATCCAACTAAAGGTCGCTTCTGTATACAAGCTGGTTAACCTTCTCATCCAACTAAAGGTCGCTTCTGTATACAAGCTGGTTAAGCTTCTCATCCAACCAAAGGCCGCATCTGTATACAAGCAGGTTAACCTTCTCATCCAACTAAAGGTCGCTTCTGTATACAAGCTGGTTAAGCTTCTCATCCAACCAAAGGCCGCTTCTGTATACAAGCTGGTTAACCTTCTCATCCAACTAAAGGTCGCTTCTGTATACAAGCAGGTTAACCTCCTTATACAACTAAAGGTCACTTCTGTATACAAGCTGGTTAACCTTCTCATCCAACTAAAGGTCGCTTCTGTATACAAGCTGGTTAACCTCCTGATCCAACTAAAGGTCGCTTCTGTATACAAGCTGGTTACCGTTCTCGTCCAACTAAAGGTCGCTTCTGTATACAAGCTGGTTAAGCTTCTCATCCAACTAAAGGTCGCTTCTGTATACAAGCAGGTTAACCTCCTTATCCAACTAAAGGTCGCTTCTGTATACAAGCTGGTTAACCTTCTTATCCAACTAAAGGTCGCTTCTGTATACAAGCTGGTTAACCTCCTCATCCAACTAAAGGTCGCTTCTGTATACAAGCTGGTTAACCTTCTCATCCAACTAAAGGTCGCTTCTGTATACAAGCTGGTTAACCTTCTCATCCAACTAAAGGTCGCTTCTGTATACAAGCTGGTTAACCTCCTTATCCAACTAAAGGTCGCTTCTGTATACAAGCTGGTTAACCGCTTTCTCATCCAACTAAAGGTCGCTTCTGTATACAAGCTGGTTAACCTTCTCATCCAACTAAAGGTCGCTTCTGTATACAAGCTGGTTAACCTCTCATCCAACTAAAGGTCACTTCTGTATACAAGCTGGTTAACCTTCTCATCCAACTAAAGGTCGCTTCTGTATACAAGCTGGTTAAGCTTCTCATCCAACTAAAGGTCGCTTCTGTATACAAGCTGGTTAACCTTCTCATCCAACTAAAGGTCGCTTCTGTATACAAGCTGGTTAACCTTCTCATCCAACTAAAGGTCGCTTCTGTATACAAGCAGGTTAACCTCCTCATCCAACTAAAGGTCGCTTCTGTATACAAGCTGGTTAACCTCCTTACCCAACTAAAGGCCGCTTCAGTATAGAAACTGGTTAACCTCCTTATCCAACTAAAGACCGCTTCAGTATACAAGCTGGTTAACCTCCTTATCCAACTAAAGGTCGCTTCTGTATACAAGCTGGTTAACCTCCTTATCCAACTAAAGGTCGCTTCTGTATACAAGCTGGTTAACCTCCTTATCCAACTAAAGGTCGCTTCTGTATACAAGCTGGTTAACCTTCTCATCCAACTAAAGGTCGCTTCTGTATACAAGCTGGTTAACCTCCTCATCCAACTAAAGGTCGCTTCTGTATACAAGCTGGTTAACCTCCTCATCCAACTAAAGGTCGTTTCTGTATACAAGCTGGTTAACCTTCTCATCCAACTAAAGGTCGCTTCTGTATACAAGCTGGTTAAGCTTCTCATCCAACTAAAGGTCGCTTCTGTATACAAGCTGGTTAACCTTCTCATCCAACTAAAGGTCGCTTCTGTATACAAGCTGGTTAACCTCCTTATCCAACTAAAGGTCGCTTCTGTATACAAGCTGGTTAACCTTCTCATCCAACTAAAGGCCGCTTCTGTATACAAGCTGGTTAACCTCCTTATCCAACTAAAGGCCGCTTCTGTATACAAGCTGGTTAACCTCCTCATCCAACTAAAGACCGCTTCTGTATACAAGCTGGTTAACCTCCTTATCCAACTAAAGGTCGCTTCTGTATACAAGCTGGTTAACCTTCTTATCCAACTAAAGGTCGCTTCTGTATACAAGCTGGTTAACCTTCTCATCCAACTAAAGGTCGCTTCTGTATACAAGCTGGTTAACCTCCTTATCCAACTAAAGGTCGCTTCTGTATACAAGCTGGTTAACCTCCTTATCCAACTAAAGACCGCTTCAGTATACAAGCTGGTTAACCTCCTTATCCAACTAAAGGTCGCTTCTGTATACAAGCTGGTTAACCTCCTTATCCAACTAAAGGTCGCTTCTGTATACAAGCTGGTTAACCTCCTCATCCAACTAAAGGTCGCTTCTGTATACAAGCTGGTTAACCTCCTTATCCAACTAAAAGTCGCTTCTGTATACAAGCTGGTTAACCTCCTTATCCAACTAAAGGTCGCTTCTGTATACAAGCTGGTTAACCTCCTTATCCAACTAAAGGTCGCTTCTGTATACAAGCTGGTTAACCTCCTCATCCAACTAAAGGTCGCTTCTGTATACAAGCTGGTTAACCTCCTCATCCAACTAAAGGTCGCTTCTGTATACAAGCTGGTTAACCTTCTCATCCAACTAAAGGTCGCTTCTGTATAGAAGCTGGTTAACCTCCTCATCCAACTAAAGGCCGCTTCTGTATACAAGCTGGTTAACCTCCTCATCCAACTAAAGGTCGCTTCTGTATACAAGCTGGTTAACCTCCTTATCCAACTAAAGGTCGCTTCTGTATACAAGCTGGTTAACCTCCTCATCCAACTAAAGGTCGCTTCTGTATACAAGCTGGTTAACCTCTTATCCAACTAAAGGTCGCTTCTGTATACAAGCTGGTTAACCTTCTCATCCAACTAAAGGTCGCTTCTGTATACAAGCTGGTTAACCTCCTTATCCAACTAAAGGTCGCTTCTGTATACAAGCTGGTTAACCTTCTCATCCAACTAAAGGTCTCTTCAGGTCGCTTCTTTACAAGCTGGTTAACCTCCTTATCCATCTACAAGCTGGTTAACCTCCTTATCAAGCAACCTTCTCATTCAACTAAAGGTCGCTTCTGTATACAAGCAGGGTTAACCTAACCTCCTATCCAACTAAAGGTCGCTTCTGTATACAAGCTGGTTAACCTCCTTATCCAACTAAAGGTCGCTTCTGTATACAAACTGGGTTAATTTCTCCTTATCAACTAAAACTACAAGCAGGTTAACCTCCTTATCCAACTAAAGGTCGCTTCTGTATACAAGCAGGTTAACCTCCTTATCCAACTAAAGGTCGCTTCTGAATACAAGCAGGTTAACCTCCTTATCCAACTAAAGGTCGCTTCTGTATACAAGCAGGTTAACCTCCTTATCCAACTAAAGGTCTGTATAAAAGCAGTCACATGAATGTGACACAATATGAGCATAAACCTGTTAACCTAATCTAACTTTATACGAGCTGCATATTGTATTACAACATCTGTGGTATTCATAGCTACAACGTGTCCCCTCGTACTGAAGCGGGGTTTGGAAATGGGACACGCCTCCCTGACAGGCATGGAGGGAAAGCCACAGGTGTATCGTAATTTATATGAATACTTCGAGCAGGGTTTCACGAAATAGCCCCCAAACAGCACATACAATAACAATTTCATTTCTTTAGGTGCAATTTCCAATATGTTTCGAACACAGAATGACAGTGAATCCAGTACACAAACTATTGAACATATTTGAATTTCTTCAAACTATTTTTAGTTCTCTCAAACGAATTGTTGCTTATATTCCCCAAATACATACGTGTATAGTTACTATGGAATCTAGAGGTTCCGAGAAGTTAACAATCATCATGACTCGTGGTCATGGGTGGCCGATACAGTAACAGCGTGGTGTTATTGCTCTTGATATCCAACACTGGTTAGCTAGAGCAATCGTGCGTGTGTGCGTGTGTAGATGTGTGCGTGTGTAGATGTGCGCGTGTCTGTTTGAGTGCAACACATCACACCAAGCATATCCTAGTTGTTTGATCGGGGTAATAACAATTAATGGTTATCTTGCTAGACAAGCTTTGCGCATTTCAAATTTACTGTCATCAGTTACCAAATATATCTCTTATGGAATTCTTCCTTTTTGACTTTTACTGTGTGTACATATGTACCTTTGCATGTGTTTGTGACAGTTGCCACCAGGAAGGCAAGATACACGCCCCCTTTCACCAACCCCTGCTATCAGAACTATATGATAGTTATTTTCAAACACATACTTCTGATATAATCGGAATCATTCAATGGGATCTTCTTTAAGCAGCCATTTCTGATGTTAATGAAATGGTAATGCCGGTTTGTTTTCAATGTTATGACATCGTGGCTAACTTCTGTTTTCCTTTTCTCACATAATATGACTATTCCTTGTTCCAATAGCGGCCTTAATATGACAGCTCCGAATGCAACGAACGTGCTGACCGATGCAACCCTGGATAAGCAGAATGTCAGCTTCCCGGGAACGTCCAATATGGCCACAGATTTGCCTGATGGGTAGGTACCGTTGCACACATACATACATGTTTTGTTAGAAACAAAATTTAAGAACATTTGATGGTTTGTTCAAATCCCGGTGCGCCCCAATTATGTTTCTACGATTCTCAGCACCATACCCGTGCCCGTGGAAGTCACATTCAGCTGACAGACAGGTGTAACGGGAATACAGTTTCATATTGCGTGCACGTGGTTCTGAAATTATGAAACGATGCAAGGTGTCTCAGTTTCGCCGAGTATCATAACTGGTTGATAGTGATTTTTAAACACATACTGCTATAGTCGGATCATACAATAAGATCTTCTTTTAGCAGAGATTCTAATATACATGAAAAGTGTAATTTTGGTTGTATTTCAATGTTAAGATATTGTTGCAAACTCCTGTTTTCCATCTTTCACATACTATATTTCATATGTGGATATTCCTAAATAGCATAAAGACATTGTCTTCTTCTTAAAATAGTGGCCGTAATATGACAGCTCCGAATGCAACGAACGCGCCTACCGACTCATCCCTGGCCATGCAGAATGTTAGCTTCCCGGGAAAGTCCAATATGGCTACAGATTTGCCAGATGGGTAGGTACTGTTGCACACATACATACATGGTCGTTAGAAACAAAATTTAGGAACATATGATGGTTGGTTCAAATCCCGGTGTGCCCCAAATGTTCCTACGTTTAACAGCACCATATCCGTGCTCGTGGGATTGACATTAAGCTGACAGGCAGTTGTAATGGGAACACTGTTAAATATTACGTGCACGTGGTTCAGGTTGATATTCTTAAAATATGATACGTTGCAAGGTGTCGGACCCAACCATATGAGCAGGCTAAACTTGCAGTCCAATTAATCTGGATTGGTTGGTTGGTTTGTTGTTTAACGCCGCACTCAGCAATATTCCAGCTATATGACGGTGGTCTGTAAGAAATCAAGTGATCTGGAGGTCAGGGAAGATCACCAGTGTCATGACATGTGGTCAACGTTGGTCAATACAGTAACAGCGTGGCCATTGCTATTCACTGATGGGTAGATACAGTTGCACGCATACATGTTGCACTAGAACAGGTGGCCTAGTCATCTCATGCGAAGTTGGGTGTGCAGAGTACTGTTCCTTTGGGCAAATCAGGAACATATGATGGGTAGTCTAAATCCCGGTACTTTTACTTATGTCGGCAACATACCCATGCTTGTTGAATTGATATTAAGCTTGAAGTAACTGACATGCTAATACGTTGCAAAGTGTCGGAGACAAGCAGACACGCAGGCTAACCCCCGGTCTAATTAGAAGCAGCTTCTGTGTACACGCAGTTATGTGAATGGGACAAAATATAAGGAAAAAACCTGATCATTTAGGATCCTGTTCATTCTCATATAATATATTCATACAAGAGTATTCCTAAAAAGCATAATGATTCTTTTTCTTCCTCCAGTAGCGACCGTATGGCCAGCACGAATGTTCCGCATATGACGACTGATGCACCCGTGGGCACTTTAATATGGCGACTCATTCGCCTGATGGGTAAGTATCACTACACGCATTAATAAAATTCATTTTTGTGCCATAGTTTTTATATGTGTGTGTTTTTGTTTTTTGTTCTGCAATCGGCCCTATTCTTGCAATATATTTTTGAAACTACTGTTTTGAACACATTACTAACAAGCTATTTACGCTGCCAAGACGTTATCTGGGACAGAAGATGCTGGTTCAGTACGAAAACATGTATATATTTTGAAAAAACCTTCGAGTGAAAATGGTGATGTATCTGAAACACGAACAAAACTGAAACTGAAATTTGGTACCAGGTTACGTGTAATCTGAGAGGAATATACAAAAAGAGTGCCGGCAAGTATCTGATTGACATACAGTTCTCACTAATGCCACGCTGCACGGTAAACACCTGTCAGTCCCCTGCTCATACAGACAATCAATCGTCGAAACCCCAGCGTTGTAACACGTCTGCAGGTTTTAAACAGGAGGATCTTTGACTGGAACTTGGCGTCCAATATAGTCCTAAATATGTTCGATGGGGTTCAAGGTAATGTTTCGATGACAACGGCCATCGGTAACATGTAGAAGATATCGCTGTTCATCAATCGAATGAACCCAAGATCCCTGAGACCATCCTTCTGATGTTACTGGTTTGATGTCAGTGTTTGCCGGCTTAGTTATTCGGCATGTTCTCTGTCATAATGGTCACTGGTCTTCCTCTGTTTTCCGGTTGCCACGTGTTTATCAGAAGTCGACCAATAACCGAGTTGTCAATGTTCACGTTAGCACCGAAATCTTCGTCTTGCATGTCAATAACTTGCCATCGTGTATTTTATGAAAGTTTTGCCATGTCAAGAAAAGTTCTTTTGAGTTTCATCATCTTTTGTATCAGTTCAGAAAACTGTAGTGCACATGCTGCATGCATGACATTTATGCCCCTATATGCTCGGCAACATATGAAAATGCGACCCCTAGCTCTTGAGATTTTGTGTGAAGCACGTTTGTATATGTGTATTCCAGTATACGTGGGTATGATCTTCTGTTTTGCAAGAAAGTAAAAATTCCCCTTTGAATCCAGCAGGAAGTACTCACATAATGCTCATATATATATATATATATATTTCTGTGATGACTGTTATTTTGTTATGACCGATGTCAAAATACATTTGGTTTGCTCAAACAAAGCAGTATTTTCAATGTTTTAGATAATGAGTGAGTTGTCATTATAACGTTCGACATATATTCATCAAGACGCCTGCTCGTTGTTCCTTAACATCATGTATACCAGTATAAGGGATGACTGTGTAAGTTGAATACCAACTGCCACTGACATTTCAAAGCCTGTCCTTTCTATGGTAGAACTGTCGAAGAGAAGTACTTGTATTGTACTTGTATTGTCAATCAGAGACAAACCATACACGAAATGGGGACAAACTGATGATAGTGATGTGGTTTCCATTATATGATTCTATAAGTACGTTTTTCAGACGACGCAGACCTATCCCACAACGACATGCTAAAGTCCTACCCCGAACATGAAGACGTCATCGCCAGAACGTAGGGTATTTCCCACTGTATAGTTACGGCTGAATCAACATTCACATTGAAGAACAAATCTGTTTTGTTATTTATGTCTGTTTAAGTTTACATAATAAAACGCACTATTGTATTTCTTCGAAGTTCAGTCTTGTGATATGCTACACGTAAGTCAACATTCTCCCTTACTGTCTACTACTAAATATCTGAAGAGTACACATCGAGGCATCACCTAGTGACAGTGATAGCGATTCACACACAAATGTGACGGTATAGAAGATTCGGGATTGCTTTGGATTTCTTTGATTTCTGAAAAGTGTCCGTCCCTCTCCACCAATGGTAGAGTGACACCTACAGGTACTAAACAAAGTGATCATTAGATTGGGAGTCTTTAGTTAGCGAGTGTGTCTAGTCTTTAGTCTAGTATAAAGCGAGTGTGATGATGGTAATGAGTGAGTGGGTTTAGTTTTACGCCGCACTCAGCAATATTCCAGCTATATGGAGGCGGTCTGTAAATAATCGAGTCTGGACCAGACAATTCAGTGATCAACAGTATGAGCATCGATCTATGTAGATGATAATGAAGATGATGTGTAGATTGTAGGGTACCATTAGAAACATCCAAACACCAAAAACTGACTTTTATGTGTGTATAATACAAGCACCTTGGGATTATGTAGTAACCGATATCGATCCCTAAACCAAATTCACCCTCATGCTAAATAGGATCTTCTGACTTGCAACAAAACATATATAAATGAACTGTGGTGAACTTTAGTTGGAAGATCCAAACAATTGATATACATAGTGTCATCGCAATCATTGTGGATGTGAGAACTCTGCACGTACTACAGAATCACATCATTGTTCATTACGACGTTTGTTGAACTCCACGAGCAATCTTTCCTATATGTTCATATTGAAGAATATATGTTTGGACATTCGCAAATCATAAATGTAACTGTGTTAGGCAAAGCAATATATATATTTGGGTTTTCAGTTGTTACGTATACATCCGTATTTCATTAATTGACATATTCATGTTTATAGAATATCGTCATTATCAGTCTAGATTAGATACATGGTCTAAGTCCACCCCTGGTCTGTGGTTTGTTGTTGGTGTAGGCGTATTCCAGAACTTCAAACAACCGCGGGTCATGTTTCCTCAAGTAATCTCTTGATGCCGCCTCGGAGGTACACGCTCGAGATGTGCCACACCTAGACCGAACAATCATGGTTTAACTTTTAATTAAAATATACCTTAAAAAACGTTTGTATTTTTATAGATCATGTTATAACTTTGTAAAATCCTACATTCTACAGGAATGATATACTTCAACCAGACCTTTATTTTGAAAAGGATTCGACATAAACGCCAATAAAAAAGCCTCAGTGAGTGAGTGAGTTATTATTTAACGTCACATCGGCAATATTGCAGCCATATCGTGACGAGAACATATTTGACATTGAAAAAAAAGCCTCAGAGGAACCACGAGTAAACGAAACAATAACAATGTACATAATCACACCGACTCCAGAACGAAACTGTTGAAAGATACAATGGGCAGATGTTTACTCACATGTTCATTCCAGCCGAGACGTCAGTTCTGGTTATGGCCATAAAGAAGGAAGCAGTTGCCTCCGCCCAGTACTCATCAGCATTCACCATCCCATACACGCCCAGTGTCCAAAGACGGTGATTGTAGGCATTACTGTAAGCAGCATGAATCTGTAAATGAGACCCTTTGATCAGTCACAGTACGTCACGCCGGACCCTTATGCCACTATGGATACCTACCAGACAAACAGTCTCTGGTTCAGTCCACAAACACAACGGTAACTGTGATGTTAGGACATATTCTGTTCGAAAGCCTAAAGAATAGCTTTACCAGTTCCTTTTGAGAATTGTCAGTGAGATTACATGTTATGTAGGACATCGATACCATGGATTCACAGAAGGAATATGAAACTAAATGTTGAACACCAATCTGCTGAAATATCGTATTTAGCTTAAATTGCATAATGTATCATATAATGATATAAACGAACAAAATTTAGTAAAGTTGAAAACATTAAATATTTTAATCCAGCAATAGCAATTTTAGCAATTTTTTATCACAGTAACAGTGTAGGTTTCGCTACAAACATGATCAGAACAACTGATCTGCATTACCTTGCTCTCCCAACTCCTGGGCATGTATTTCATTGTCAGATGGCCAAACTCGTGAACAAGAAGATTCTCCTGGTGTCTATACAGGTCTTGGGCGTCACACAACACATTGTCGTCAAGCACAGAACTACGCGAATTGGTTAGACCAGCAATGGTTGCCCACTTCCGGTTGTCAACAGTACACGTGTGACTGCATGATCCATCGCATCTACCTGGCATCACAAGAGGATGTGGTTTGATATCAGGAGAAATATTTAAAAGGACTTCCGCAAAAGGAAGCACCCTTCATCTCCATTTCTTCAAGGTTTGATTTAATGTATAAAGAAATCTCAGACTAATAAAAGTTCTAAATATTTGCCACTTTGATGAAAGAGAATGACAGCTATGATGCAAACATACAATACAACTTCTGGGAGGACTGCACGAATACTGCACTACCTTCAGATTGATCATGGCTTAAAACCGTACTTTCGGAATATCTAAAAACCATTCGTAACTACTCCCTATCGTTCGCCATTATTGCCAAGAATCGTGGCAAACCAATTAAATTGTGCGTAGTAAAACGTATTTCGAAGCATGAAAATGGCGGCATCGTTGAACTTTGAAACTTCGCTAAACTATGCAAAGCACAATTTGAACATATACTTTGAGCTAAAGGATCGGCAACTTGAAACAATGAAACATATTTACAAAGGGAATGACTGTACTGCTGTTTTGCCCACGGGATATAGGATATTCTAGGAGCCATGTTTGGAAATTCTGAGTTATCGTTCCTTGGTAATAGTACTAGACTATTTTCATCTCCATGCCCGTTTGCGCTTAGACAGGTCCCAGTCGTAAACATGGCCACGAGAGGGGTACGAGACGCCACCCGGCTTGCCGGAATGGCACGAGTAGTAACGAATGGGGCAAAAACATCAGAGGAACACCAGTTATACACATTCAATGAAAATATGGCACATGCAACACACTGGATGAAGGCCATTAATCATATTTTAAGCACAAGCTCAGTGGAGTCGAGTACCATGCACTGACTATGTGCTTTCATTATTAATGCAACTCCTTCATGATCATTGTAATTTGTTACATAAGACATCATACCTCTACAGGCTGGAGTATCAGCAAGATGGGCGTTTTCAGGATAGACCACCATCCCCTCGGACTTGGAGAAGATCCCCACTCCATGTGATTTGGCGATACCGTTAAAAACGGCATCAGGCATGTGCCGTACCATCAGACTCACATCAAGTGATGCCTGGAATAAACATGATCGCAACAACGAAAATATAAGCAAATTCCCATGTACAATTCCCATGCATTGTTTTGTATTAAAATATTATGATAGCTCAGACGTCATGATAAAGGAATATGCGTCAATAGGAGTGTTACGGAGTTGTAACAAACGCTCGTTCTGGTTCCTACACAGGTACGGTTTAAGATCGTGTATTAATGAGTACAGAGTAATAAGCAGCAAACCAAGTCCAAACTCACTGCATGATATATCTTTACATGTGTGGATGAGATAGCTCATGCATGTCTATTGCTACTTGTCTCTGCATCACTCTCATGATCAAGAGATGTGAAACCTTTGGTTTCCTTCGCATGATTGTATTACGAGATTATAAACCGAAGACAATTGGATGTTTGATATGATGTTCTGGTCTGACAGCAAATCTTGAAGTGGTCGATGAAACCAAGACGGATCTAAGCAAGATTGTATTAAAAATACGACAAAACCGTTTCCTTAAAATTATCTGTTGAAAACAGAGCCGACTGTATGATTCCAACTAGATCATAAGCATATGTATTATGAATCACGTAATAGTGACAAGAGGTGTTGGCATGGCATTTGGAAGATACCTTCAAGTGCCTGTCATACTCAATGCAATAATTATTTAAAGACTTATATGCTGTAATCCTGATCCAACAAATTGTACGACAGCATGACGGTCTTTGAAATATTTATCCTTAAAGGTTTGGAAATGTACAGACCACACAATGATTTACCTTGTGTAGTGCCTCATCTGAGACGTGGTTGGTGGCTGTGATTGTGACGTAGGGGAGATTACTGAACGAGTGGTCATTTATGCCGCCGTTGTGGGTGACGTACTTGTGTCTGAACGACGTAGCTGCGCGGTTGGGTGGTATCCATTCAGTTCTGACATAAACATGTAATGATAAAAAACGTGTCCGAAGCTGAAGCAGTTTTCACTATCGGTAGGATCAAGAGTAACGGTGGGGGTTTCAATCAATTTGTGTGTGTGTGTGTGTGTGTGTTTTTGTTTGTGCACACACTGCAAGGGGGCACACTGCAATCAGGTCTTTCCAATTGAGTTATTGCAAGAAACATGATACGGAAACAACATGAAACCTTTCTCAAATGGGCTCTTTTTTAATGGTATCTTGTTCCATCCTCAATTTTCAAAAATAGCGATTTTTAACATGAATGTAAATGAAGCCTGTACTCAAGACCAATCTCTCAAGAGTCGGCGAGATATTTAGTCACAATTTTAAAGTGCGCGGGCATGCGTGTGTGCGTGTTTTCATGTGTCTGTTGTCCTGTTTCCCGCGATTTTGATTGACTGAGGTGGAATCCAAACTTTCGCACCTGTCAGATTTCATTTAACATCGCAGGCGAAGGTTATAAGACGTGACACAAAGGAGGTTCAAACGTTGCATCAAATAAACGCAATGTAACAAGTGTATAGCAGATCTTGTTTCATGTACCCAGTTTCTGTTGTGTTTCTACGTTAATCACACAGATTATATTTCTCAGTAACATGAGCTGTTTTGTGTTTGTCATCAGCTTAATTACACTGTTGTAAATTGAGATGTTCATGCACAATTCTACATTTACTCACTACGGTAAGCCTTTCAAAAATTAGGGTTATTATTAGAAGCAATTGTTGTATTTTTATGATTTATCGATGGATAACAGTGACTAATTCTACACTACACAATTTTATATACCTTGTGACCGTTATCCTTCGACAAGTGCACAAAAAAAGGTAAAACGATTCTGAAATAGTGAAGGTACCTGTTAACGACCGCATCCTCTGGGAGCGGCGAATATCCAGACACGCCTGCAACTGACAAAATATGTAACGTCAAAGGAATGAATACCCTCAATGAATATGTGGTTGATTTACGAAATACAAAAGGACAGACCATTCAGATCAACTTTATTGCATCCACGCATGGCTTGATGTTGCAAACTACAACCAGCATCACCAACTCTCTGGGGAGATAATAAATATACTCAATCCAAGAACGATTTTGCAAGAGAACAATATACTAATGTTTAATGAAATGGCCAAGACAGTTTCACCTCAAGTCCCCTGTAAAAATCATCTCTGAGTGAAGGTGGCGTATAAAGCGAAGTGAATACCCTCAACAAATATGTGTTGGTTTACGAAATACCATTGCATAGACCAGTTAGATCATTATTGCATACACACTTTGTAACTGCCAAACCGTAATACGTACTTGAGGGAAAAAAAAGTTTTGTGCTTCACATACAATTTCGGTAAATGATTTTAAAAACAGAGAACGACAGTGCACGCGAACAATATATTGATGACCAAGGAACATGAAATCACCAGTCATCTATAAACGTAATCTCAGAATTAAAGTGCCATAGTCATTCCAGAAGTCAGTATCTAGTGTCACGGCGACAAAAATATATACCAGATAATAAAAATTGAATATATACAAACGTTATGGATTACAACTGCTTTATTTCGTGAGAGCCACGTTTCGATATAGATTCTTGCACAACGGTACGGGAATCTGTATCGAAACGTCGCTCTCACGAAATAAATCCATAAAGTTGTCTATATTGCACTTCCAACTTCTAAAATGCCACTCTAAGAAGATATACCAGGAAACTAGCGGCAGAACCAGAAATGCAAAGTCAAAGTCAAAGGTATGTGGTTTGTTAACATCAAACATTAGAAAACCGATCAAATAGAACAAAGCGCCCCCAACGACACGACTCTGCTTGCTGAAACAATTAGGGTAATTTGTCTGATTACTCAAACAGAACAACAGCCGTCACACAGATAGCAAGAGACAGCTAAACCGTCTGGGCCCTGTTTCACAAAGCTCTCGTAAGCTTAAGATCTCGTAACCTTTCTTGTAGCAATCGTACTCTCGCATAGACTTACGACAGTCGTAGCGCTACGACAGCTTTGTGAAACGGTGCCCTGGTCTACAGAATTAACAGGTAGGCAACAGTCAAGCCAGTGGATCGAGTTCAGAAGCGTCTGATGGTCTGACCTTTCAAAGGGAATATTGCAGGCCATTATCTTCAATATGTTATGCGTCTTGCAAATGTCGTTCATTTGGAAAAACGACTGCTTGGTTGCATTTCTCCGACCTTTTTAACACATTCTTCCCCGGTTCAAATCCAAAAATTCCCCCGATTACCAATAAAAAACATGTTACATTCATCTTTGCCCCATTTAACAAACGGCGCTGTGAACAGACATTTATGGAACCATAGGTCTTCATGGATAACAACTTGTGTATTGCGTTGAGATTTCGATACAGTTTCTGACATGACCATCAAGCTGGAAAGACTACAACCAAGTAATGAGAGTAACACACAACTATATGGATAACAACTGATTATTTACATGATGTACTGACGTTTTTATATAGATTCTTGAACGGCAATCATGCTGGAAACAAGGAAAATCTACATAGAAACGTCCGAAAGTCGCGTGAACTAATGTCTAAAATGCCCGTAAAACAACCAACGCATATTTACCTGCGAGACACAAAAACAGAACCAGCACCATGGTACTCAGAAGGTGAACTATGTGTCGTGTACTTTTGTTTTATAGTGTTATCAGAAAGGTTTATCAAAGAATGTACCTGCGCGTGATAGGTCCGTGATGGAATAGCTCAATGACAATACACATTTCTGGGATGCCTCAAATACTGACGTCAGTGCTTAGCCGTTTTGTGTGACGAATGCATCAGTGTAACGTATGTACGTAAGATTTTAGTTAAATGTAACTACGGAGCTTATACGACACAGTATCCTGAATTGTGTTTTATGTATCTTTCATAATGATGTTATTGGTTGTTTAGGCTGCATATTTTCTGAAATATCAACAATTGTTACGTACACGTCTTGGGTGTGATTCATATTTCTCCAATACTCAATCAATAACCCATATCCGCATTACATATAATCATTACCATAGGTTAGTTAATTGGGTAATATGTGGATAAAAACAAGATGTTGAAATCAACATTCGATTATCAAAATATTCCAGGATAAATATTCCGGGTTAGGTGACATCCAAGAGATAAACAAGTGTTCTAAATAAACAACTGCAAGAGAGGCTCTCAATATTTGTTGCAAATAGGCTAGGATGTACAAGGTCTTCTCAGAGTCCCGGAAGCACATCGTTTTCCCTTCCGCCCGATTCCACAGGCTCGGCTTCTGAACATCATTGAATTTCCTTTTCAATGTAAATAGATTATTTGTTTGGAGTATGAAGTTATACATCTTTACATACCAAGCGTTGGTCCAGGGGAGCACTTGAAGGCTGCCAGTTAGGTTCAACAACAATCAATACAGTGTATATTTTAAAATGATGTACATACTGTGTTCACTATACACGGGCACATATCCTTGATCTCTTGTAAGGATCAAATTAGCATGGAAGTTACCAAACGTCAGTCCAGTGTACAAACAGATTTCAAATTTTGCGGGACAAATATGCAACAATGTATAAAGTATTATGTTAAAAAATGTGTGCCAAATACAGTTTTACCCAACAATTCTTTATAACCTTGACAGTTCAAACTTCCTGTCACGTTTAACCGAAAGATAACCGCTTTTAGGTTCTTTATCTGAACCAAAAATACACGTTGGATGACACCTCCAAAAGATCAGCCTTTGTGGTTATATTTTTGTGAAGGCATCCCTACACGTTCTTGTACTACGAGACAGGGATTGGTAGGACAGTTGTGCTGGAATCGACTACAAACTAGAAGACACATTCCCGTTGCTTCTGATAGTGTGGTGCTATTTAGATCTCGCTACACGTGGTCTTACCGCGCCCAACTCAATGCTCGATTAGCAGTATAAGTTCGTGGATACAAAGGCGTTTAAGTCAAGTATTGTTTGCATGTGTAATTTAACTGAGCACTGGTGTGAATAATATGTCAACGTTATTACTGATGTTAGAATATTCAGATCCATACATGGTGTTGACAAATGAAGGATGATAATCTGGGGAAAAGTGGGTTTCGATTCCACAATCTCCAGAAAATGATACAAATATGAAAAGCAACTTCCAATGGCAAAACTATACAGCCATGTGTGAGTGAGTGTGTGTGTGAACCTGATTTTACGCTAACCTAAGAAGAAATGGATTTCATACATTGCAGCTCTTTTAAAATTTGAACCCGGACTTTCAGTTCAGCAGGTCACCCTCCTATTCTGTACTGATGCTTGAGTCGATTTATGATTGCAACATCATCATGAACATTTCTATATGAACCATTATCACATAGTTTTGATACCGGCGGCATCCTTCACAAGCAAGTGCAAAGACAAAGTATAATTTCTACACCTGCAGAAGGAAGAGGAATGCTGGACCTTGATCCATTCAATCCATACAATAGTATCAGTGCTCTCTATTTACAAGAATGCAAACTTAACACTATGATTCGTAGAGGTAAAACAACATGTATTCGGAGTGAATTTGCACTTATCTGTTTGTTTCGTGGGAGAAATATGGCCGAATCCGATATATGATAGAGGTTCGAGTTCAAGACTTGATTCGGGTCTTGTTCAGTCGTCGCCAGATTGCTAATCATCATCATTACATCTGGTTGTCATTTACCTTTAACCGGAAACAAGTCGTCCGAGCAAACGTTTGTACATATGACTTTGAAGTCAAACCCACGGCTTGTACCAGTAGTCACTGTCTACTTCCATCAATTAAAGACAAGTCAATTAGTAACGAGCAAAAACATTCACCGTAGCCTTGAAGAAACGCGAGTTAACCAACAATTACTAAACGTGCCCAACTGGTGTACATTTTTGCAATCGATCAGTTCCGGACAGGCTAACTTATCTGATACTTTGTTTGATTTCTGTGACACAAATGAATACATAAATGCATCAGTGCTATGCCTCCAAAGGATGATCTCATCTTTCCCCGCCGGTTACATTCGTTATTGAATGGTATCAGATCACTGAAAAAGTATGCTATCCTTGTTGGTCGTATTCCTTGTTTTTGACTTGTGTCATGTGTTACTATGTTTGTTTACCGACATACTTGCCTTGATCTTACATGTGTTTGTGATGGGTCTGTTTTTTGAGGATAGTCTGGGACACTGGGTATTCCTTTGTATGGACGTGTTGTGGTTTCTAGAACTGAGTTGATTGCTATGTTGGTGGACTGAAGTTCCAGAGATTGAATCATTAGTCAAAATAAAAGAAATGTTTGTTCTGAGACATCAATACAGACCTCCCACTGTATTGTAAAACACATTTATTTCTAAAATGGTATTTTTCTGTTTATAAGCATCGGAATTTCTGCACTTCTACACAACAGACATAATTAAACAAAATCATGTTTCCCAGTTCTTCGATCACATGATTGTCTGGTCTGTATACAGGCCGTAATCGCATGGCAGGAGTACTGTTGTGTGGTATGATGCTGTAATTTCTATGTTTGTAGGCAAACTTTGAATGGAGTGTGCTGCCAGTATGCCAGGACCGTTTTGCGAACACCTGGTGGCAATACTGATTTCCAGTGATCCATTTATATGTTTTGCATAGCTCTTTGTTCTCTTTTCACCAACAGGAATCTGTTTCTGGGATACTCAAGAGTAGGGGTGCCTGTATGTCTATATTACTGCCAATCATAGGCATGAAGACAGAGGAAGTTGCCTCAGCCAAGTCCTCGACATTCAGCATCCCGCACTCGTGAATGTGCCCAGACTGCGCTGAATCGAGATTCGTGGTCATGACAGAACCACAATTTACGAATCATACACTCTGATCATGCGAATACCGGTATAGTTCATTTTCTCTAACCACACACAAGTAGTGATAAGAGATTAGTGTGGTCTGATGACTACTTAAAGGTCGCACTGTCAGATGAGAATAGATAATGTTCATATTTGAATGTGTAAAAGAGACTGTGATACATGTCGTTTCACCTTAGGCAAGTTAGTTTGTTCAAAATTGTCTCTGTTCACCCAGCAGAACCTGTATGTGCACTCGGTGAAATAAGTCATGAGACTATTAACCATTTAGTGCCTCACAGGCAGCTTGGGTATCCCGAGTATTAATGATCAGATTATTAGTATGCGCACATTTTATACGGTCAATTTAATTCACTGTACGTCTCTAAAAGAAAAATAGATACCATTTCATTGTCATTCCTTAGAAGGTGACGAATGACAAAGTAGATTTTGATGTGCTGGTAATAATGACATTTTGTTTAAGTTCCTTATACCAGTGTCAAGCAATGTCACATTGTCAACTCTGTCATGACATTATTTCACAAATCGATTCTGTGGTACGCCATTTCATACGTCCTTATCTTAACACAAACGATCTGAGCCAAATCCTGGTTTTATCCTGCGTCTGTCCGGGGTCAGTGACCGAGAACGTGCTGAAGGTGTACTCACACACCTCACTCGGTCACATACTTCTTACTCATTTATTCACACACTTCTCACTCGGTCACATACTTCTCACTCATTTATTCACACACTTCTCACTCGGTCACATTGTTCTTACTCATTTATTGACACACTTCTCACTCGGTCACATTGTTCTTACTCATTTATTCACACACGTCTCACTCGGTCACATAGTTCTTACTCATTTACTCACACACGTCACACACTTCTCACTCGGTCACATACTCATACTTCTTCTCATTTATTCACACACTTCTCACTCGGTCACATACTTCTTACTCATTTATTCACACACTTCTCACTCGGTCACATACTTCTTACTCATTTATTCACACACTTCTCACCCGGTCACATACTTCTTACTCATTTATTCACACACACTCGATCACTCGGTCACATACTTCTTACTCATTTACTCACACACTTCTCACTCGGTCACATACTTCTTACTCATTTACTCACACACTTCTCACTCGGTCACATAGTTCTTACTCATTTACTCACACACTTCTCACTCGGTCACATACTTCTTACTCATTTATTCACACACTTCTCACTCGGTCACATACTTCTTACTCATTTTTCACACACTTCTCACTCGGTCACATACTTCTTACTCATTTACTCACACACTTCTCACTCGGTCACATACTTCTTACTCATTTACTCACACACTTCTCACTCGGTCACATACTTCTTACTCATTTATTCACACACTTCTCACTCGGTCACATACTTCTTACTCATTTACTCACACACTTCTCACTCGGTCACATAGTTCTTACTCATTTACTCACACACTTCTCACTCGGTCACATAGTTCTTACTCATTTGTACACACACTTCTCACTCGGTCACATAGTTCTTACTCATTTGTACACACTTCTCACTCGGTCACATAGATCTTACTCATTTATTCACCCTGTAAGTGCCACATACGGCGTTGGTTGAATTCCGTGCCCAATCGTCCCTACGTATATTCATATTGAACACAAATATATTTGTTGAAATACGAAAACCACGCATGCAGTTCAGTAAACCATTATATTACTACACTATATACTATTTTAACGTCCCCAATTTTAGAAAAGAAAACAACAATAGTTAGTAACAAGCGCAACAGGAATGTATTGCCTGTACATTTTCATGCACTATGCATACAAGAATACAGTCATTATCCAGTCTCATCCTGTCTTAGATGCATGGTCTAAGCAAGAATACAGTCATTATCCAGTCTCATCCAGTCTTAGATGCATGGTCTAAGTCCGCTCCTGATATCTGGCCTATTGTCGGTGTAGGCGTATTCCAGAACTTCAAACAACCGCGGGTCATGTTTCCTCAAGTAAGCTCTTGACGCCGACTCGGAGGAACACGGTTGGGATGTGCCACACCTAATATGACAAATATTATTGATTTATTGTATATACATTATACCCCTGGCATGTATATTTTACTGGGCATGGACCAGACGTTTATGATATACTGTACACAAACAGATTCTATTGTTAATGGGCAATTACAAACATCACAGGAACAATGAGGACAGTTAGAATAATATAAAGTACAACATAACCACGCGTTCAGCTTTAAAGAAATTATTGCAAGAAACAGTGGACAGATATTTACTCACATGTTCATGCCAGCCGTGACGTCAGTCCTAAGTACAGACATGAAGAAGGAGGAGGTTGCCTCCGCCCAGTACTCATCAGCATTCACCATCCCATACACGCCCAGTGTCCACAGACGGTTACTGCGAGCATTACTGTATGCAGCAAGTATCTGTAAATAAGTGAACATGTGATGCACAGAAGCAGTGATGCTGTTAAGTGATGGCGGTACGCACATAATGAGCTTGGAGCTCAGAGCTCAATGGTGCGATGGCACGTAACTTTCTGGGTGACCTTTCGTAGAAACAGATCCAAACAAAATGTTCAACATGAATTTGGAAAAACCTCATCTTGAGCTGGACCTTTGAGTTGTATCACTTTGTAAATTACATTTTAATAAAATTCTGAGATTTAAATATTCAGTTGGCAAAGTCAAATTATGAGGATTCGCAATCTTAATTTCACTTTATTTGATTTACTTTTTCGTTTAAAGAGAAATTCATCGGTACGTTTTCACTGTAAATAGACTATAGTTTAACACATTAACTGTTTTAATCCAGCAACAGCAATGTTGCGACTATGGAAATAATAATTTACAGACTGAATAACCTGTGTTGGAAATGGCAACACATTGCTTATTGTAATAGAAACATGCATAAATAAGTGTAAACTGTACTAGTGTGTATACTTAAGTTGGAAAATTCCAGCTTCACGAGCATTTGCAAAGGGAAAGATGTCTACAGAAAACGGAAAGCAGTATAGGAAAACAATTATAAGAAGGATTGAAAGTCAACATTCAAAATACAGGTGAAAAGTAACATGGATGTTGTGTTCTACTAGACATGGGTCAAATTGTATACCAATGAACAGGGACCAAGGACCATTTCTTAATTGACTAGAATAGTGACGATGAATGTCCAGCCAGGGACATAAGCTGATTGGACGTTCAGTTTAAAACTCCACGCAAATGCCAAATCAATCTGTAAACCATCTTGATAATCCTGTGGTAAAGTGGGCTTGGTCATCGCATTCGGTTCTGTCCGGACGTATGTATACGTGCGATAAGAATTTGAAGCGTGCAACATGCCAAAATACAACCTCCATGACGTGCTGAACTGATGGTAAAACAGGTGAGATCTTAATACATTAACAGGAAATGAAAGTTCCAGTGCATGGTGTAAGGCTTCGATCATCCAGAATCGAGCTTGATATAATGAAAATCAGATATGTCTGATGTTTGGTGTAAAACCATGAAATAGTGAACTACAGTAACATGATTAATATTTCATTTTCTCTGTATAACTTTCCTTTGTTTTCATAATGTTGAATTAAGAAAACAAAACAAATGAGCAATGAATTATTTTGATTAGGAATAAAGTAATTGATCTGTTATGCCAATTATCCCCTGACCAGCCCCAAGAAGACTACATCATATCATGAATGCTGCAAATCAGCTCGTCACGGTAACAGACTAAGCTTCTCCTACAAGGGAACCACCATACGTGTAACGCATCTGCATTACCTTGCTATTCCAGCTCTTTGGCATGTTTTTCATTGTCAGATGTCCAAATTCGTGGACAAGAAGATTCTCCTTGTGATTATACAGGTCTTGGGCGTCACACAACACGTTATCGTCAAGCACAGAGCTACGCTGATTGGTTAGACCAGCAATGGTTGCCCACTTCCGGTTGTCAACAGTACACGTGTAACTGCATGATCCACTGCAACTACCTGGCATCACAAGAGGATGTGTACTGAATCATTTCATTAAATTTTGTAAACATGTAATTTAACTTGTAAGGAAAGCGCAAAGTAATACTGGTTCTAGGTATTTACCACGCCTATGAAAACGAATTTCAGCAACCACGGGGAGTAGTGCACAAAGAGCTATTCACTTGATGAAGGTCATCGTCACCATTGGCTCTCATAATCAGATTTAGATTTTAATCACGTTAGTCTCAGTGGACCTTATGTACACGTCGTTGGCTACATGCATTCACTATTCCATGCAACTCCTTCATGATCCATGTGATCTCTTACATATGACATCATACCTCTACAGGCTGGGGTGTCAGCAAGATGGGAGTTTTCAGGATAGACCACCATCCCCTCGGACTTGGAGAAGATCCCCACACCATGTGATTTGGCGATACCGTTAAAAACGTCATCAGGCATGTTCCGTACCATCAGGCTTACATCTAGTGCTGCCTGGAATATACATTATCACAACGAAAAATATAAGCAATAATAATAATTTATGATAGTTCTGACATCATGGTCAACAGCAATATTTATGGAGTCAAAACATACTCTCGTTCTGTTTTCCTCACAGGGTGTGTCAATAAGAAGCAAACGACATTCCTAATCACTGCATGGCATATCACATGTGTGAATGCTATAGCGCATGCGCGTCTATTAATACATGTCTTTGTATCACTCTCGTGATCAGGAGATGCGAAACCTGAGGTTTCTCTTGCATAATTGTATTACAAGAATATTAACCGAAGACATTTGGATATTTGATTTGATGTTCTGGTCTGAGAGCAAGATTGAAGTGTATTGTCAGTCTACTGGATTTTATGAATTGTAGGTCGATGAAACGAAGACGGATCTACTCAAGTTTCTCTGATACATACGACACAACCGTTTCCATTATCATAACAACGTTCTGCAAAATGCAGAGATGTCTCCATGATTCCGAATGTATCACTGGCTGTGGGGTAGCCTAGTCGCTAAAGCGTCCCCTCGTCACGCCAGGCCTGGGTTCGATTCCACCCATGGGTACAATGTGTGAAGCCCATTTCTGATATTGCCCGCTGTGATATTGCTGGAATATTGCTAAACGTGGCGTAAAACCCTACTCACTCACTCACCAAATGTATCAGGATCTAATGATAACAGGTGTTCGTGAACACCTAAATAGGGCACCGGCAAAAAACATGAAAGGGCAAGTCAGATGTTCACCTGAAACAATATGGTAACATAAGGTACATCGGCTGTATCAAATATGGAAGCATTCTGCTATTGCTTGCCACGCAATACAATTATATTCTGAAGACTAGAATGCTGTAATCCTGATGAAACAAAATTTTAGCAAGACTCACACGATGGTCCTTGAAATGTCCTAAAACGTTATGAAATATTGACACCCAACAACGCCTCACCTTGTGTAGTGCTTCATCCGACACTTTGTTGGTGACAGTGATTGTGACGTAGGGGCGATCACTGAATGTGTTGTCATTTATGCCGCCGTTGTGGGTGACGTACTTGTGCCTGAACGTCGTTGCTGCCCGGTAAGGGGGTATCCAGTGGGTTCTGATATGAACATTTAAAGATAAACAGGTTTCAAACCTTTGTGGAGGACCAACAAGCGGCACAGAACAAAAAGACTTTCAAATTATTTTTCAAATTAATGAAAACTATTAAGGGAACAACATAATTCCTGTCTCATCCTGGCTTTTTTATGCAAAAATAGAGCGAATTCCCAAATAATGATATATGACATGACTAAAAATGAAGTCGGGTCAGTCAAACTCTAAAGACTCGGGGAGATTCTTAGTTACAGACAAGGTACCTGTTAACTACCGCATCATCGGGTGGCGGCGAATATGCTGACACGCCTGAAACTGACAAAATATATAACGTCAAAGGAATGAATACCCTCAATAAATATGTGGCTGATTTACTAAATACAAAAAGACAGACCATTTAGATCAACTTTATCGCAAACTGCAGTTAGCATCACCTACTATCCCGGAGATAATACATACACTCAAATAAAGAACGATTTTGCAACAGAACAATACATTGATGTCCAATGAAATGGCCACGACTGTATCACCTCACGTTCCCTGTAAACGTGATCTCAGAGTGAACGCGGCATGGAGTCAATTGTCATTTCACAGGCCAGTATCAGGTATGGCCATCGCCAGTAACAGAAGGCCAGTGGAGTGGGAATGATCTGCCAGGGCATCTGCAACGTGTGGACGAGCTGTAAAGTGTCGTCCATTGTGATGAAGAAACTGGAACACGTGATAACTTTTTTAAGCTACTCGATGTCCACTGGATGTGTCGTGTTACGTGCAGTGACGCTTCCCTATGTAATTAGACTTCCTTTACACTGTATTCAGAATGTTAAATAATCACCGTTCCTCCAGACGTCGAAAAGCATGCTGACGACCATCAAATCTGTCATGAGGACAATGATCCAGTCCTGTAGCTTGACGTTTTTAACATATTGAACATACGCCATCAGTTCGGTGACATTTCAGCAGACTTACATACAGCTGGACGCCATAGTCGGATATTAGGCTCTCGTAATCGATTCCTCACAGTCCTTGCACTAATGTGTCAAAACATCAACGAGGGAAAACCATATTATCTTGTCGTTGCGATATTTGGTGACATCCTAAACGTGGTCGGGGCTTTGTTCAAGTATTCTGTTGGTAACGACTCCAAACTGGTTGTTTGGTTCTCCTGTGAACATCAAAACGCCTCAACGGTTTGTGCAATTCCGGTTTGACGAACATCAGTTTCACGCAAGCGCTCATTTACAGGTGGGACTGGCAGAACTTTCACGAGATTTGGCCATCAACAAACTCGCGTTCAACAACTAGAATACTCCAACCATCTACTCTGGTGTTCAATGCACCGACGATTTCTGTCTGATGTGTGATGACCTTCTTGTCTTCAGCAGTTCATGCATTTGGCTAGATGCGACTAACGAGATCGGGTGGTCAGGCTCGCTGACTTGGTTGACGTATGTCATCGTATCCCAACTGCGTAGATTGATGTTCATGATGTTGATCACTGGATTGTCTGGTCTAGACGTGATTATTTACAGACTACCACCATATAACTGGAATATTGCTGATTGCAACGTTATACAACAAACAAACAAATATCTTTCTCACAGGACATTATGCATGTTGTCACTACACGTACGAGTAAACATCGGTGTTCATAGCCCTGTATTTGGGATTACCATGCATCTGAACAATCCATGAAAATTCTGTTTTTGTATCTGCTCGTGGAAAATAACAATAAAATCCGTATGACACACACCGGCGCACATATATTCGTAGCGCACTGTACTGTCAGCAGATGTTTAGAGATACATACAACTTCATGGACAACCACTTGTTATTTGTTGTATTCAGCGACGTTTGGATGTAGATCCTTGTAACGTTATCCAGCTGGAATGATTACAAGCAAGAAAGATTCTACATCGAAACGTCCCTGTAATAATATGCATGAATATGTTATGAATAGGTTCACAATCTTCTATAATGTATATTTACCTGCGAGACACAAAAGTAGAACCAACATCATGGTACACATAAGGTGAAATATGTGCTTTGCACCTTTATTTTATAGTTTTATCAGATGGCTTTTTCAAAAGTATTATCTACGAGTGCAATAGGTCTGGAATGGGATAGTCCAATGTCAATACCCTTTCTTGATTACTGCAAATACGGACTAAATTACGGAACACCTGTTTGGTGTGATTATTTCAAAATACTCAATAAACCACATTTTATTACAAATAATCATTATCATTATTTAGTTAATTTAGTAATAAAACTAAGTGACGCCAAATGATTTGATCAAAATAAGAACGAGATGTTTGAAACTACATTCACATTCGATCATCAAAATATTCCTGGCTAACACGGGGTTATTGGACTTCCATGAGATAAACATTGCTTTGATATAAACTAATGTAAGAGAGGCTCTCAATATCTGTTGCAAATAGGCTAGGATGGATTCGGTCTTCTCAAAGTCCCTGAACCACACCGTTGTCCTATGCAATAACCCTACAAGAAGCAAGCCTAGCGTTTACTCAGGTTCAGTTTCTGAATCTCGCTGGGCTTCCTTTTCAGTGCAAAGTACATGTATTTGGTTCCGTTCAAGTTATTTATCTTCAGATACCAAGCGTGAGTCCAGGGGCGAACTTGAAGGTTGTATATTTGGATTAACAACAATCAATACAGAGTAAGTTTTCAAATAATAATAATAATAAGTCATCTTCTATAGCGCAGTCTCCAAACACCAAGTAATTGCTCGCGGCGCTTTATCAGAATCTGATTATTATTACCCCGGATAACCCTAGCTGCCTGTTAGGCGCTAGAAGGTTATAGTCACATCCAACCGGGTACCCATTTTCTGCTGGGTGAACAGAGGGAATTTTGAACAAACTCACTTGTCTAAGGTGAAACCACATGTATCACATGTGCTTCGTTGTGGGGCGGGACGGAAGTCCTAGGAACTGTCAGGTGTCAAGCTGCCAAACACGGTCACCCATCCACAGACTCTCCGTGCTCGACGTTGCTTAACTTCAACTATGTATACATACCGTGTTTACTGTACACGGACACGTATCATTGATCTCTTGTAAGGATGAAATTAGCATGATCGTTATTCAAATACTTCGGTACTAAGATACAACAATGTATAATGTAAAATGTTTAAGATGTGTACCAAATACGGTTTTATCACAAACTGTCAACCGATTTCATACAACTTCATAAAGCCATGAAAAATAGACCCAAGTTAAACATGATTAACCGTGAGAAGGTAACCGCTTTTAAGTCCTTTATCTGAACGCAAAAATAAACGAATAACACGTTCTAAGGATCTCATCAAGCCCTTGTGGGCGTTCCAACCTATTTTTAAATTAATATCGCAAATGTGCATCCTTTGCTATGATTCAGGGGCTGGAAGGTAAGTGGAACTGGGATCTACTCCAAACCAGTACATTCTCGTTGCATCTGGCTGCGTTGTGTTATTTTGATCTCGCTACAAGGGCCTTAACCTCGCCTCACACGGTGCCTGAATAGCACTACAGTGGCCATTTGTTAACTTCGCACACACAAATGCATTGGAATGTTGCAGCTATGGTTTGTATTTAATTGGGCTTGTGTAAATTTACTGGGATAACACAGCTGAATGAATTCTGTGTGATTAATGTTGTCACATATACATTAATGAATGTCCGACAAATCAATGATCATGTTCAGATAAATTCTGGGTTCAGATTATTCTGTATAATATTAATGGTGCCAATTATAAAGCAAGCGTAGCTCACCGTGGCAACTTTACAATGGCACATCTATATAGACAGGAGTGCGTGAGTAAGTTTGATTTTTACGCTAACCTTTAGAAAAAGGGGTTCCACACATTCCATCTCTATGAAAGTTTGAACCCGTCTCTTCCAATGTCGAGACGCGCTTTCACAAGTCTCCTCTATACTGATGGCGAGTGTGAGTCCGGTGTACGATTCCGACTATATTATGAGCCTGCGTATATGAGCCATTATCAAATAATGATCCTACCAGTTGTTCACGAAAAGGTGAGCGCATCCTGCCCCACCGACGGCACCGGTCACAAACATATGCTACCAAGCTACCATTTCTATAATCTCTCCACCAATTTGTGATTCATAGTGATTAATGACTCCATACTCATGATATAGTTGGGATCATACAATAAACCATGCTTTCAGAAGATGATTTCCAATGAATGAGAAAAGAATCTGTCGCTTCCTTTCCATGATCACTCCAATAGTTTGTGTGGTAAGTGAGTAAGTGAGTTGGGTTTTACGCCGCTTTTAGCAATATTCCAGCAATATCACGGCGGGGGACACCAGAAAAGGGCTTCACACATTGTACCCATGGGGGAATCGAACCCGGGCCTTCAGTGTGACGAGCGAACGCTTTAACCCCTAGACTACCTCATCGTCTCCCGTGTGTGGTAAGAGGCGACTAAAGGGATCGGGTGGCCAGGCTCGATGACTGGGTTGACACATGTTATCGTATCATAATTGCGTAGATCAATGCTCATGCTATTGATCACTGGATTGTCTGGTCCAGACTCGATTATTTACAGACTGACGTCATATAGCTGGAATATTGCTGAGTGCGGCGTAAAACTAAACTCACTCACTCACATCAGTGTGTGATCTGTGGACTGCTTGATGGTCGAGATACTTCCACTTTCAGATGAGAATATATAATCATCAAATTCCAGTGTGTAACAGACACTATCCTCTGGAACCATTCACAGTAGAATGAATTTAAGTGTGGCTACAATGTGAGCACAAGCATAGCACGAACATCTTAAGGCTCAAGCTTATATTTCAAATTGAATATTCTTACTTAATGTCTAGGATACTTGTCGTTCATTATTTGGACCCGGATAGTCCGCAACTTACTCCCGGAAAACATCACAATACATATAAGATGAGATACATAGTTTAATGGGAACATGTAAAGAATATGTTCAATAACAGACTAACTGGTAATACTTTTAAAGAAAATATATGCAAAATCACATGCATAATATAAAATACATACCAATAAGTAGCATACCACATGCATACTGATGAGCCACTGGTTAAAGGATATAAACAGTAAAATATTGTAATTGAATCACCTATAATAAGGCATATCAAAATGATGGACGTTTGTTGGTGGTTTGAACCCATTTCTCCACTAGTTGACCTAAACATTATAACTGTTCCTTTCTTGGCGATACATCTTTAAATCTTTTATGAGTTTAAACAGCAAAACAAGAAAGCAGCTAAACATTTATAACACATTCGACGACACCATGTACGCTATGACCTATGCCAAGTAGTCACATTAATTAAGTCACGTTCGATTAAGAAATGGGTAAATGGACATACTACATATAAAACGTCAGTTCATTTGAAACATAACACACATCCATTCATGAAATAAAATATTAAAACCAATTCTTGTCAATCAAAAGCATAAGCTTTAAGAACACTGACTGTCATTGTAGACCTTGACGGGCTGAATGTTTACATACTAACTTTGTGAAAGATAACACGCATTTCTGTTGACAAATATGAGAACACATGAAATCACATCTATTTAAGACGTATATAATCTGTTACCATGTTAACGACACAAGAAATCTTTTCCTCTATGAGGGATTTCATCTTTTCAGATATTTGTTGATAAAATTTACTCTTTTTAAAGTTTGTAATCTTTTGCAAAGGTATACATATAGCTCAGAAGTAGTACCAAAATTGGTCACAACACAACATACATTGCAGGCAGAATAGGTTCTGAACATATTACATAGGCCTAAATGGATCCCTAAAATACAACATCAAGAACGGTCTGAAAATGGGATAAGGACTCACAACAGAAGTATTCCTTAGTTATAAGACATAAGGATCAAAGGGTAAGACCAAAACGCACACCACAAATCATTATGCGGTCATTAATATAATTCTGTAACAAAGCTTATGCCTTTATCTGCTGTTGTTATGAAATAGTAACGACATAATAGTGATTCCGCGTACTAGACGATCTGTCTTCAAATAGTTCAAGGATGGTGGCCTAAAACAAACTAGGATGGTTACAAGACATTTGGTATAGCATTTAACATGGACAAAATCGAGAAAATCGGAATCAGACCTGTTGGCAGATTGTGGTGTTAGTTCGACTGTCCTGTAAACATGTAAACTAGTGAATCTTCAATGTATTCCCCATGCTGACCTAAATAACATGAAAGGAGTACAGCTATGTATTTCTCTAACATGACCTACTGCAATGGGTTGCAAGAAATCTAAGTGCTGTTCATGAAAATGCTCCATGTTTCAATGTTTTCATGACAATCGACTGAAGATGGAACTGTTTTCTTGAACAATCTGTTGTATACAGAACAAAGTGTGAACAGTTGTGGGGTACATAGATGGAGAAATGTCAGATAGTTCACATGTGGCGGCATACATATACAGCCAAGCCACCTCAATTCTAACATATAAACGATACACGAGGAACACGCACGTTTGTGTTAACATATGAATCAATGTTTCATATTTAAATTGCAAGTGATTTCATCGCATTGAGCGGCTAAAGCTTCAATAGTTTTGCGCTTATGCCTCCATAAAACTATTTAAAAACAAGCCACGCCCACTAATGGATTACGGTTTCTCGACTGGTTGAAAATAGAGAGTGGTTGGTGAAGTAATATTGCCCTGATTGATGTCAACGATTCCTTTGCATTGTCAACATTTATGTATTAATAGTCAACTAAGCACAACGTCAAGCTATTATTTTGGATTGATTCATTTATATTATCGCTATCATATTACGCTGACCCCTCCAGCATAGCAAAATTTAATAGACGATAATTATTACATACTGTATGAATCATTACTGAAAAGTTCAGTATGGGTAAACAAGGCCCCGACCACTCAGGTTTGCTGAATGCGAACTATGTTACTACCAGAAATTACAGTTGGAATGGGGGGCGGTGGGATAGCCTAGTGGTTAAAGCGTTCGCTCGTCACGCCGAACACCCAGGTTTGATTCCCCACATGGACACAATATGTGAAGCCTATTTCTGGTGTCCCCCGCCGTGATATTGCTGGAATATTGCTGAAAGCGGCGTAAAACCCAACTCATTCACTCACTACAACTGGAATGGATTCTCAAATGAAACACAAAAACATTAAAAGAGGAAAATGAAATCCTTTTGAAAAATGTTTAGGCAACGGTATGTTTGCCTAAATTGCTACCTGTCAACAACATTTAATACAATGCCCTTAGTATCATTTAAAGCAATATTCATAATGGAAGATCAAGCAGCACGTACATACGTCCCTGTCATACGAAGAAAACATCGAAACAAACAAATAACTCGGACGATTCATGACATACCTGTATCCAATCTGGTTAAACATGTTCACGTATTGTCATGTAGTATTGACGCTCATATAGTATATCCTCCTCTCATCTATAAGGGGCGGTGGGGTAGCCTAGTGGTTAAAGCGTTGGCTCACCATGCCGAAGACCCGGGTTCGAATCCCCACATGGGTACAATGTGTGAAGCCCATTTCTGGTGTCCCCCGCCGTGATGTTGCTGGAATATTGCTAAAAGCGGCGTAAAACCAAACTCAGTCAGTCTCATCTATAAACCACATTCGACACTGTCAGGCTAACCTGGAGCTTTCGATAAATGCATAGGTAGATGATGACGAGACCTAAAGATGACACTCAAAGCAGACTTTCGGATTTTACGAGCACTTCATACTGGAACCCCTGAAGGTTGATGGCCGTACATTGGTTGCTTGTGACAGCCATTAAATCAGCAAATAAAAGATGAAAAAGTATGCATAATACACGTAACGAGAAATGTTAGTGAACATCGAATAGAAACGTTATTACAAACATCAAATGAAGAGAATAATTAAGTAGTATTGCCATTGTATCCCCACCGTGACAATACCCCAGCCCATAGCACCAATAACTTCGAACCGCTTAGTCAAGTTGAGATCGCAATGATGTTTTGAAAAGCCACCATCTTTGATTATTAAAAAAGAACTAATTAATCTGACCTAGCACCAATAAAAATGCCCCATCTCCAAGTGACCCGTGACATAAGTCAGGATTTACATCTAGTTAAACTACAACTGTGCACCCGGGATCGAGTTTTCAGGCTCGATGACTTGGTTGACACGTCATCCTATCCCAGTAACTTAGCGGTGCTCATGGTGTAAATCACTGCAGTGTCTGGGCCTGACTAGATTATAAACAGGCTGCCGCCACATAGCTTTAATGGTGCAGAGTGCGACATTAAACAACAAAGAGAAATCGTATCTGTCCAGAAAGGAATATCCTAAAGCAGGAAATCAGCATAACTGCGATTTTCTGGCACACTGTAGTAATGCATGCGATATTACAAAGTAGCCAGATAAAAATGACAATCATGATTCTGAGTGTAAATATCTATTATGAGCGACCACATGCGGTACACAATGAGATATGAAAGTATTATGTTCTCAGAAAGATTACGTTTTCCATTTGTAGTACAGAAATGTATCGGTACTGTTTGGTTTATACATGGTTGTTGTCACTAATATGGTCCACGTGGCCTTGTGCCTTGGCTGCGGTCAGAGATTGCTGTAGGTACTTCATGAACCTGTGGACGTCTTCGAAGGAGCAGAAGATCGGGACTGGGGCAACGCGGATAACACGTGGGAGACGTTTGTCACACTGAAAGGGTATTGTCAAGTTGACATGAATAATGACTTGTAAACCAAACACAAATCTCTGACGTGAGGCCGAAATGCATTGCTTTTTCAGTCAAGATGTACAGCGATATGACGAGGATGAGGTACTGAGTGAGAAGGGCGTGAATGAGTGAGTGTAAAGTATCTGAATGAATGAGTGAGAAGTGTGTGAAAGAACGAGTGAGAATGAATGAGTGAGAAGTCTCAATGAGTGAGAAGTGTGAGAATGAATGAGTGAGAAGTGTGTGAATGAACGAGTGAGAAGTGTGAGAATGAACGAGTGGGAAGTGTGAGAATGAACGAGTGGGAAGCGTGAGAATGAATGTGTGAGAATGAACGAGTGGGAAGCGTGAGAATGAATGAGTGAGAAGTGTGAGAATGAACGAGTGAGTCACTTAAAGTCACTTAAAGTATCGGCAACTGAACGCCAGATCCTTTTAGCAGTCACTTAAAGTATCGGCAACTGAACGCCACAGTTAGACATGTTGTATCCTTCTCGTGGAGCTGAGAATACACATGTTTGCTCTCAAAAACAAAACCATGAAACTTGTGCTCTGTGACGTGTCATCATTTATGGTAACCCCACGTTCATTAGAGTACAATTGAATCACTAAAATGCCAGACACATTGCTGATACTCACAGAAACACCACGCTTGTACAGTTCGTCAAGAACATGGTGAATGTTGACATTGAACGACAGTGACAACTGGGCCCCTCGTTGTTCAGGATCAGACGGGGTCAGTATATCAATGTATACTGCATCGGGATCCTCTGACTTATTTTCTGGGCGGCCATATTTTTTTTATCAACAGTTCCAGATATCCGGTCAGTAACAAGGACTTCTGTCTCAGTGCTGGCAAGGTGGCTTTGTTATACAGCTGGAAGGGAATATATAACGACCATGCAGTATAAAACATTTCAGAACCAAGCGAATTGCATTTTGTATAAATCAATTAGGTATTATTCTGAAAATTATCAGGTGCGTTCATTTGAATAATTATTCTACGTACATGTCAGCGGTGATATCTATTCTACCAATAACATTTATTTGAAGGTACGGCAATGATATTTCAAAAGGTGTATCTTAGATATTTTCCAGAAAACGTCATCTCATATTTGATTATTATCGATCCTTTGAACCGAGCTGATGTTCTAAATTCATTGATATAAAAACAAACATATGGGAAAGAATAAATCGATTTTTGTAAGATTTTATCTTAAGGATAGGAAAAGCATTTTCACACACTTTTGGGTGTCTTGGACCGTAAAAATGCCATTCGCACGGGAAACAAACGTTGGACAAACATGGGGAATGGAGCCCACGCACAAATATCACACACAGGGCAATAGGGTCTGTCCTACTGGGCATTCACCATAGCAGACAAATCTCATCGAACAGTTGGACATGGAGCACCAGCAACCCACTCACCACCATTCACCAAATAGGACAAACATCATGCATGGAGCACCACGTTCTTATTCTGTTGGACAATCCCACACATGGGGGGGCAGAGACACCCCAGACGGTGCATCAGGGACCTATTCTGCTGGGCATTCACCATAGCAGACAAACGCTTTAAAACATCGGGCATGGGACACCACAGACCTAGTCCAGGGGAATTCATCATGGGAGACAACTGTTTCTCAGGGCAATACTTAGACGTCGACATGTTCCACACAGGACACAAACGCTGTACCACAAGACATAGGAGCTTCTGTCGTGTTTCCCATTGTGTTGTTTACCTCTAGACTTGCTTTTAGCGACGGGACCAACATCCCTGCAGGGTTGGAGATACGGTAGCCATATATACCTGGGGATATGTCCATGTCTGGTAAAGGAAACATAAGTATCAGTCACATTCAAACGCACACTGGAACATGTCGCTGGAACCTGACATGGGACTGATTTATTGGTTAAAACTAACACTGCAAGGTGGCCGTCCGAGTATGTATTCACGGCATTAATGAACAGAATGCGTATAATAAAATAATGATGAAAAATAATTCAGGTGCTTTGGTTTAACCAAAAGATAAATTTTAAAGTGACATAATGCACCGTCTACCACACCTATAAGACAATTAGTCTTTCCAGTGTCAATCACTTGAAATATTGTATGTGAATCTTGTCTTCCATGTATCCTAATTACCATTGTCCATGACAAATCTTGTTTCAAGCTTGTGGCCCCACCACCCAAGCAGTTTGGGGAAGTCGTTCTTTTCGTGTTTCTTGTGCAGGAACGCCCCTCCAATACCCCCAGCTCCCGAGCACAAGTACTGGAAGATGAAATAATCAGCCATGTCTCGTGTAATGATGATGATAATGATGATGATAACGCATATGTCGCTAATTATGATCTATTCCGTGTTGGTATAAAAGATAACCCCAGTTGTTCTTGTGGAAATGTTTGTAAAAATTCGTATTATTACCTATTTGAGTGTCATTTATATATACAGAGAACTGCAATGATGACTAATTTACGCAGTGTTACCAATGTGAATATAAACTATGAGTTACTATTACATGCGATGCAGATCTGACTGTTCGCATAAATCAAAACATATTTAAAATTGTTCAAACATATATTTAAAAAGATTTTGTTAATCAGAATATTTTTTTAATTATTGCAATTGTTCCACTGTTTACCATCTTTCTGTTTTTGTCTGTCCATCTTGTATAATAAATGTAAATAATATTATGTAATAACTACGGAGAAGGTGTTAAAAGTTATATAACTTGTACCCAAACCTTTTCTCATGAATAAAATATACTTAAAACATACCCAATCCTTTTCTCATTAATAAAATATATTTAAAACAAAACAATCGCTAATGCACTGCTGCTGCTGCTGATATCGTATATGTAGGGTAGACTGGATATATCTATCAAGCAGTTTATGAGAAACATGTTACAAAAGAGCAATATCTTTTTACCTGCATAGTCTCATAGACCCTTATATAATAATTATTATTAAAACATAAAACAACAAGACACACACAAGACATCCCTTTAATAATAAAATATACGTTTTTGTAAGACTATGACTATGTTCTCTTGTTACCACCTCGTTACTTGGGTGGAAGGATACTTCCAACGGTATTTCACAGGAATACCCAACGGATTGCTCTTCAAAATAAGACGGATTGCTTATCTCAGTTACCTTGTAAGTGCACCAACAAGCAAAGTCCACCCCCCAGTCATGGAGATGCAGTTCTACATTGCCCACAGCATGAGCGAGATCCCATCCCACATGGCACCCCTTGGCTTGCCCTGCCTTGGTGATGGTGGCAATATCAAACAGCTGGCCTGTGTAGTACTGCACCCCAGGGAGGCAAACAACAGCTATAGAGTTGCCTTCTTCCTGTATCCTTGACACGATGTCTTCTGTGCGCAGAGTAGTCTCCCCCTTAAACAGCCAACGTGAGTTGTAATGAGTGAGTGAGTTTAATGCAACACTGAACTCATTTCGGTACAGTCACTGGGTGCTTGTTGACATTGGAGGAATGGACAAAGTGACCCACGTCTCGGACGTTTACAACTTTGATTAAAGCTACGAGCATGAATATGAGGTTGCCAAGAGTCATAATTTGGGCGAAGGTGGAATTCGAATTCCCTGATCAAAGAACTCGGGCACGCCTAAGAATTTATCGGAACAACGTGGCAATGTTAGAGAATCAGATATCGTAGAAGGGTTCTAATCTGGACAACGCCACGATGTGTTGACGACCCTACAGTGTAACACGATCAATACAAACAATGGTGCCGTGTGGTGGCCTCACCTGTCTGGGTTCGAGCAGGATAAGACTTTCAGCTGGGTTGTAACCATGAAGCCTTATCTGACTTTCGAATGCATACTGAAACAAAGAAAATAAAATCCCAGGGACACCAATACAGGAAGGCGGGAATAACGTTGTGAAATGCTTCTCGTAGAAAATATGCACACTTGTAAACAAGATACACAAGGTTAATCTCAACAGGTGTATTGTAAAACTATAATAACATAAATGTATCTGAAGTATATTTGTATATGAACATGAATTGAATTTACCAAATAGAAATCTTGTCTTCTATATTTGGACTAACTTAATTGCGTGCGAAAGGTAAGTAATCTTTCCCGTGACATTACTTATACTCACGTGATCAGATGGAAACGACTTGCTTTCGCACATAATCTTGTGCCTTGTGGCAGTTGGTCGGTAAAATGAGATCTGGACAAAAAACCAAATCATTGAGATAAAACCACAGGCTTATTTACAAAAAATATTACATTGTATAGCTGAAAAGAATATTGGCAAAACGATTAGAAAATTTACGTAGCTCAATGGAATCTTTACGTTTTCTTTATATGAGCATGTACCTTCCTAAAGACCCAGGATCACTCTCATCCATCACAATGAATCTGAATGTTAATATGATCTTGCCCCTGTGTACATATTACCAGTTCTTTTCCGATGTAGCCTTACCAGCAATAGATGGAGATTCACTGTCAATCCGTTCATGAGAGCAACCTCACCATGTTGGCCTCCTGGAAAAGGAATCGCGACGAACATGATGAATCCTGCCTCACCGTTTGCCGATTCAGATCAGCTCTTACTACCACGACGGTCAGTTTGAAGAGCAGGTTTTCGAAACATTTACCTTACTAATCAAATTCTATTGGGGTTTGGCTACGATGAAAAAACCCTGAATATTTCTGATTTTCGAGAGGATAAATATTGTTTTATACCGCGATCACAATTATTTCAGTCTCAGAAAGGCTGGCTGTCAGGTGACAACGCACCCAATTCTTTTACGTTTCGAAAAAGCCTATTGATATTCATCTTTCATAAAAACAGCACACTTTCTCTATTTCGAAAGGCAAACGGTTTTGAGTCACTTGCTTTTTTTTATTGCAATATGTCGTAATGAACATCACAATTAATTTTGCCATTAAGTATATATGGTACTGTGCCTACCTACTATCTTGGCCATGTCGCCATCAACGCATTCATCACAAGTGGCCCAGGGGAGCTCGCCGTGACGATGGCCGTGGATGGCACTGAAATATGAATATGTCCCACTTCTACATTTCTTGAAGATGATTTGTCGGCTTTACAACGACCTTGCGGCTAATCGTTACCGCTCAATACAAGATTACGTGAGCTAGGAAGGCTTTCGAACACGCCATTTAAATATGGGCTAAAATATGGAATACAGTGCGCTGTTTGTGTTTCATCTTTCTAGGTCGCTGAACTGACGACGACGTAAAGACCACACACGAATAAATGTTTAATCAAGGCGTGTTATCGTTTAGACAGTTTATCAGCGTCATACTAATGAACCATGTTCCATGTTTAATCTAGTACAGTCAATTTGTTTTGAAAGTCGTTTAAGAAACAATGGCGGGAAAACGCTTTTGTGCTACTTTGAGAACCATTACTACCCCTAAAAAATGTTCCTCTAAATCTACACCCTATCGTGACCAACGGGGAAACGGAAACGGTTTCAAATCACAAAATATGTCTCTCTAATATGACATCTGGTCTCTCAGAAGCCTACGAATTCATTTCTTTTTAAAAAAAAATTTCATCACACAATGTGGGTTAGTGAGCTAAACTGTATCCACAGATAGTCGCAGACATCACAGACGCCGCAATGAACATAGTTTACGCGCTTTGATCATCGACCGAACTGTGGAAGATTCCAGACTTACATTTTGGACCATTTTTCCAGCTGTGTCTTCACATACTCTTCTGCGTTCTTAGGGCACAAACCGAGAGAGTTGCCGACAAAATAAACACAGTCATCTTCGGGGTCGACTAGCGTTTGGTCAGCTACAAGCAAAACATTAAGAATTATTTTTCAGAAAGACACAACACTTACTTGACCCCCTTCAGTTTGCCTACAGAGCTGGGACAGGAGCAGGGCCTACAGAGCTGGGACAGGAGCAGGAGCCTACAGAGCTGGGACAGGAGCAGGGCCTACAGAGCTGGGACAGGAGCAGGGCCTACAGAGCTGGGACAGGAGCAGGGCCTACAGAGCTGGGACAGGAGCAGGGCCTACAGAGCTGGGACAGGAGCAGGGCCTACAGAGCTGGGACAGGAGCAGGGCCTACAGAGCTGGGACAGGAGCAGGGCCTACAGAGCTGGGACAGGAGCAGGGCCTACAGAGCTGGGACAGGAGCAGGGCCTACAGAGCTGGGACAGGAGCAGGGCCTACAGAGCTGGGACAGGAGCAGGGCCTACAGAGCTGGGACAGGAGCAGAGCCTACAGAGCTGGGACAGGAGCAGGGCGTACAGAGCTGGGACAGGAGCAGGGCCTACAGAGCTGGGACAGGAGCAGGGCCTACAGAGCTGGGACAGGAGCAGGGCCTACAGAGCTGGGACAGGAGCAGGGCCTACAGAACTGGGACAGGAGCAGAGCCTACAGAGCTGGGACAGGAGCAGAGCCTACAGAGCTGGGACAGGAGCAGGGCCTACAGAGCTGGGACAGGAGCAGGGCCTACAGAGCTGGGACAGGAGCAGGGCCTACAGAGCTGGGACAGGAGCAGGGCCTACAGAGCTGGGACAGGAGCAGGGCCTACAGTGCTGGGACAGGAGCAGGGCCTACAGAGCTGGGACAGGAGCAGGGCCTACAGTGCTGGGACAGGAGCAGGGCCTACAGAGCTGGGACAGGAGCAGGCCCTACAGTCCTGGGACAGGAGCAGGGGATGCCGCTCTTACACGGCTGAACAACATCCACAGATATCTTGAAACTTACATTTCATTTTGTACGAATCTTGTTTGTTGATATCCCCACTGCTTATATCACCATTCAGCCTCATCTGCTTATGCAAAAACTGTTCAACACTCATTAACTGGATAGAATTGTTTCCTTTGTTACTGTAAATGGTTGCACGTCATCTGTAACACTCACATCTATGTGATGCGTGAAACAATCTACTACTAAACCTATTAAATTAAGCGTTCATGTGAGTCAGTGAGTGAGTGAGTTCGACGGACGACGTTCATAGTGAAGTCACACTTAATAACCGGTATGCCCAATGAGTCGCGAGAGAGTACAGTTTTGCGCCGGTTTCAGCAATATCACAGCAGATGACTCCACAAATGGGCCTCGCACATGTGGAAGAATGTAAGAAGTAGGACCTGGGTCTTCCGCGTGACGAGAGAAAACCTTTAAACACTTGGCTACCCCACCGACCATTTTCTCGGGAGTAATGTCCTGTATTCCTGAATAGGCGTCCTCATCACTTGTTGTTAGGAAAGATTGGTGGATTAATGGGGATTCGCTAGAATTCAATTTATTTTCAAACGGCTAGAAAAAAACACGTTTGCTTGAGATTGACAAATTGGCTGATGCCAATCATGATCCTTGTATAAGGTCTTCTTACCAAACATGATCTCCTTCATTTTTGGATAGTGGAATTCTTTCCTGAATGCCTTCAGTTCATCCTTTTCGTCCATTAATTTGGCAAACCTCTCATCCGTCACTTGAAAACCAGCCTCCACTGCCAGGGCACACAGGCGATCTGCTGGACTTTGTTTGGACATTGTTGACCGACTAGCTAGAAAAAAGAGTAATCAGATTTAATAAGAATTTACAAACATTAATCAGATCGAGTGGTTAACCAAATCATGCATCCTGAAATGCATACATTAATCATTCTGTATGTCATTCTAACCCGTGAAGTTCCGGATTAGAATCGGTCTCCAGCAACCCATGCTTGTCGTAAGAAGCGACTAACGGGATCGGGTGGTTAGTCTCGCTGACTTGGTTGACACCTGTAATCGTATACCAATTGCGTAGATCGATGCTCATGCTGTTGATCACTGGATTATCTGGTCCAGTTCGCCGCCAAATAGCTAGAATATTACTGAGTGCGGCGTTAAACAACAATCAAACTGTATGCAATCAATTTGAACTCTTCTGTCCACGGGTATAGTGGGGTGTATTATGTACAAGGGGAATCCGCCGCGAAGGTGGTGGTGGAATTGGGTTTAACGTCGTGCTTGAGAATATTTCGCTCATATGACGACGTGCATGCGTGTGCATGTGTATTGGCGGCTGCTTGTACTAGCCCAGACTGAAGCTGGTTTTATAGTGCTAGCCCACTGAGATACCCGCCGCGAAGGTCTGTGATTGCAACCAATAAGGAAGAGAACACAACTCATGAAGTTTGTTGCAATGAAAACCTGAACAATATCTGTTTAAGCAATCACAAACTACCAAAAGACACCATTTCACAACTACAGGATCTACACTGTTCAAGAAAAGAAATGCATAAGTCATTTTAGAAGAATTTATTGCGTTAGTTTAAGAGCAATCAATATTATTTCATGAATTTCAATGATAAAAAGGTGAAAATTCACACGTCTATAGACAAAGGGTTCGGCAACACAACAGATATCTGCAATGCTTGTTGTGGCTTATATAAATTATTTCAAGATATTTTGAATTGAATTTAAGATGTTATATTTGGGATTACATATTCTTAGTAAAGTACAGATTCTTGTACTTTTGTTGGGTTGAGTCCCACCCGGGATTCGAACCCACACCCTCAGAGTCAGGCACCTAATCTCTAGCACATAAAGTCAGACTTCCACTAAAATGGAAGTAGGACAACTGGTAGTCAAGACTGCGGACTTTGTGTACCCCTCTGATAAGTGTAAATTGGCGCGGCTCCTACGGCCGAAAGCTATAATTAAGATGCCTTTAATTCACCACGAAATTGTGATATCTCGGTAACATTTTACGATATGAGTAATTCTATTTTGGATATCAGAAATTAATCAAATATATATTCAATTATGTACGGACATCTTAAAAACAGAATTGACACCTTTAAACGGAATGCCGATATCTTTAAAACGATTGAAGATATCAGTAATTTCTTCATAAATGTGAAAACCGCTTGCCGTATACCGGGCGGTCTTCGCTGTAACACCTCCTCAAAATGCATAAGGACTATAAATATGTGTATCCTCAAGTTCTGGAAATACGTACGTCTGTAAATATAAGCAACAAAACCTTTTTCACGACCATAAGAAATCTCTGTTAAAAACAGAGTCGATTGTGCAATTCCGACTATGTCATGACTGACTGACTGAGTGAGTTTGGTTTTACGCCGCTTTTAGCAATATTCCAGCAACATCACGGCGGGGACACCAGAAATGGGCTTCACACATTGTACCCATGTGGGGATTCGAACCCGGGTCTTCGGCGTGACGAGCCAACGCTTCAACCACTAGGCTACCCCACCGCCCCGACTATGTCATGAGCATATGCTTGTGAATCACAGTATAAAAAGTGATGATAACAAATGTTGGCGAAAATGTGAGCGGGTCCTGTCCCACTGGTTGCACTCTTCATAAACACATGCAAAGGCTAGTCAACTGTTCAGCTGAAAAATATCGGGAACATTTGGTACAAATTTAAAAAGCTGATTGCATCGGGCACAACTTTTGTCACTGGAGCGTCAGATTTTGAAATTTTCTCAACATGCCTATTAAAACAGCTCTGTGTTACATGAGCTAAAGGTCCTGTTGGGACCCGATACAACTAATGAGAGCTAACCTTTAAATACTATGCTTATAATTTATGATCTTCTTTCATATTTAACGAAAATATACATTCAGCCCCGCATGGGTTCCATTCCAGATCAATCTATTGCTTATTTATTTCAGGTCCTGAAATTCGCGTATAAGTTGTTCTGTATCATATATACAACAATACGACGAACGGATTATTTTACAATACCTAAATACTTATTCATAACGACAAAACATAATAAATAACCACAACAATAAGACCGTATTATAACCTATTCTGTGACCACAGCAATAAGACCGTAATATTTTATAGGTGAACTATCGGAGAATCTTGAATAACTGGCCCACCTACAAATTAAGCATTGCTTGAAGTAGGTCTGTGAAACCTTGGAACTGCCTTTGGGACTAAAGTATTGCATGCAACGCTACTGCAAGAGAATCTAGACTGCATATATATATATATATATATATATATATATATATATATACGCACACACACACACACACACACACACACACACACACTCATCTCGAACATTCAATGGATCAAAGAAGGCACGGATATATACGTGAATGTCGAGACAACAGAAAAGAAGTATTCGTTCTGTACATTATAAATACGTAAAGCACAATGTTACATTGAAATAAGAACAAAATATAGAACACAAATGTCCATGTTTCTTACCTTGAAACAAGTGAGGGGAGAGCTGTGGGTTCCTTGGGTCTATTCACGCAAGTGTGTCTGAGATCCAAATCCCATGTAGATTTAAAGCTCAAAGCTCCACTCGTTTAACATTACCAATTTCTCTGATGTAACACTTTCCAAATATTGTATCTACCCAGTGCTGGCAAAGTTTACGAATGTATTAAAGCTTAGCCCCAGGATTACATCACAAGGGTAGACTTTTAGTCCATGTTTAGCCTATGATCAAACATGCGCCATCTGGTAACAAAACACTTATCAGTGTTTGACCAAGAGAAGATAGGCCGGTGCCGGCTTGTATGTATAATTATCAATAAGGCCTTTGTTAGACACAGTTATTGCTTCGGTTGACCAGTGACAATTAAACGATATATTGAGAATCTCACCCAAGCGTCTACTGATATCAATTATATCAGCGTGAGTTGATATTTTTACTTTTATCAACGAGTGTTGAGAGGGTGAGATTCTATTCATCATAAAAAAATCACTCTTCATTAGTTTTCAGAAAAATGTACATCTCTGAACACTACGTACTGCCATTTATTACTCGCCCCCCGTGGAAGATAATGGTAATGATAATGATAATGTTTCTGTTTATTCGTTTTAAATGCCATACGACCCATTGTACATATTCATTAAATATTCAAAGCATTTTAACAGTAAGTTAGAGTTTACAGTTCTCCTCGTTGTTTAAACACATGGAAAATATATTTAGCTAAATTATTAATGGTTTCGGGATTTTGAGAATTGAATAGTGAATAAATGGATATGTAATATCCATCGTTTTTCTTTGGAATTAGTTCTTTTCTTATGTCCGTAAATATGGTGCAGTCGAACAATATATGACTCTCATCTTCGAGGGATAAACAGGACCTACACAATATATTGATGTCATCTAAGGTGCTCTGTCCTCTGTCTTAGTTTCATCACTCCAATGTTCACATTGCCACTTCGAAATTTAGTTAAGATCCGTCTTTGACTAGGTGAAGTTACTACAGATAGATAATATTCACACTCTAATAGAGATTTAAAAGAGAAGTAAAATGTGATAGAATCGCTGTCAAGACTGTCATGCCACATTTGAGCTGAGGTATCTAATAAACGTTGTTTGAAAAAATTCATAAACAGTTCCTCATTACCAACTTCTTGGCAGAGCCATACATGCCCGAATCCGTATCTAAATAGAAGATTCCGTATGTTGTTTGTCCAATTGTTACGTCTCCGGGCTGATATCGATAAAAGCATATTATAACACTGGTATGGGTATCTATTCGGAGGCAGTGTTATCAAACGGAGCCAATACTTTACACATTTGGACATATATATACAGTCCATAGAGGGTTTCTCCCACATTCTCCATATGCTACACAGTTTGAAGATTTATAGCCTTGTCCTAAAACGTATTTGTAAAATTATCTTTGAACAAGATCAATATCATCACGTTGATTGAAACCCCATATTTCCGCTCCATATGTAAGAATGGGCACAATTTTCATGTCAAATATATTGAGAGCTTCATTTACGGATATATTCAGGCGTCTGATGAGAGCTTTTACTGGGAATATCGCTTTACTGGCTAGGCTCTACATGTTCTCTAATGTTCTACATGCTTTTGTCATATAAGCTTTGGCGTCATCATAAGTCCAAGGTACTTATACACATTCACAGTTTTCAAAGTTTTCCCTTCAAAATACCACTTTTCGGATTTAGAGAGAGGCCCACCCATTTTGAAAACCATAATTTTGCTTTTTTCTATGTATGATTTCCATTCCCCACTTTGAGGAGTAGTCAGATAGTCAATCAAGTCATCGTTGTAACTTGATCACAGAGTCAGCAAGAAGGATGACATCGTCAGCAAATAACAGTGCAATTATATTCAACACTTCGTCTGACACATAAATTCCATCTTCAAAGTTCTTATTTACATGTTTGTGTAATTCTTCAATAAAAAGCGTGAAAAGGACTGGACTCAACGAACATCCCTGTCGAACACCACACGTACTTTCAAAGTAGTCAGTGAGCTTTTTCCCGTATTCTACAATTACTGTTGCTTTTATGTCGTTATACATACTTTGGATAACGTTGAAGAATTTTCCATGAATTCCATTTTGCAGCAGAACATACAGAAGGAAGTTCCTATTGACCAGATCAAACGCTTTGCGGAAGTCAATAAAAGCACAGTAGAGTTTTCCTTTCTTCTTGGTAATACACCTTTGTACGAGGCACTGCAAAATGAAAATACAGTCAATTGTGGAGTGATTTTTCCTGAATCATCCTTGGTGTTCGCTTACAGGGTTGTTCAGTTCGAT